CCTACAAACTGACGGGTATTTCGATGGGTCGATTAAAAACGAATATTGTCGTATTCCGTCTCTTTGTTTTTTCATAGTGTGATGAAAAGTGTACTAAAGTAAATAGAAGGTATTATTAGAATTGCCTAAACAATTTTAACTTTGAATAGCTCGACTATCTTTGAAGTGTAACGTAAAAACTCAAAGTATGAGAAAAATTTTCAACAACTAGGGCATGTCTGAAACTTTAAAGCAACTTCATTAAGTTCCGGAGATAGAAAACGTACTGATGCAGCTTATGCTATGACAGTCTCCATGACTGGGTGCACTTGGTTTTTACGAAAGTTTTGGGTTCGAGAAGATTTTTTTACCTAGACATCGCGTATTAATTTAAATAAATTGCATTTCGCTAGATAATTTAATAAATATATTGCCATTACGGATAGTTCGGTTCGTTATTTAGTAAGAACAGTATTAAGAGTATGATTTTTTTTTCTGCGGGTATTTGTCCTTAGGCTATGAGCGAATCTGTTCTGTGGTGCTGTCATGTGGAGTGACTTCCCATTGCAAGCATCTACTCATCTTCTGCCTACTAGCTACTGCCGGTCTTCTAGCTCTAAAATATGGTGATACATAGACAAGTAGACCTTATGTTGGTCATTTTTTGATTTAAGACATGCCGGTTTCCTCAAAATCTTTACCTTCACCGAACACACACAGAGTACACAGACAGAGTCCTTTGCTAAACAGCCGAGGATCGAACCTATGACCTCAGAGATGATAGTCACACGCTGAAGCCATTTGGCCAATGCTGCTTAAAATTTAAATGAATGGAATAATATTGATGAATTTTGGAGCATAATATTAAAAATAATTATTGTAAAGAATCGTTATGCCACGACGACGAACTCTAAATACACCTGACCTTCCTTATAGATGGGCCTTAAGGGCGACAGTTTATTAACAACAATTTCCCAGTATCATCCCGAAACATTATCTCGATTGCCGGGTCATCCGCGATATTCCATAATGTCTGCTCATCAAAACTTTACGGCCGAGATAAACCCACTAATACGTATATTATGATTGAGATAACATTTTTGCTAATAAAATCTTCTGTTTTGTCGTAAATTATTTATATTATTATTATTTTCTGTATATTTTCGAGAGCTTGAAATCGGTTACGTTTCGGATTTTCTTTTTTGGAAAAATATCTTTTACCAAGCTCCACATATAAATATCACTAGCTAGTGGCCGTGACTTCGTTTGCGCAGGATTAAAATAATTTGTCAAAATTATGTAGCGTGAAAGACATATTTTATCTACTTGAAATACCAGAAATATCAATTTATTATTACCAAATGTGCATTTGAAATAAATGATTAATTTTTATAGTAGTTATGGTACACTATTTTGGCTTACACATAAGATATAGATATATACTGTGGCGGGCTTTTTAAGATAAGTGTAGGATTGTAGGATGTAGATGTGTAGGATTATTTAAGATAAACATTGCCATCATGCATTACATATGGTTAACTCTAGCGGTTTTGCCAGCGCACGCCAGAATAGCTCGCAGATGGTAGATTTTTTCCTACTTACTTGATTTTATGGACAATTCATACAATATCTTTAAATAAATTGTAGCCTTTATGTTATTCTGATGTATAAACTATATTATTGTAAAGTTTCATTAAAATCCATTCAGTAGTTTTTACGTGAAAGAGTAACAAACATCCATCCATACTTACAAACTTTCGCGTTTATAATATTAGTAGGATATTTATAATATTGTTCTGATGAACAAAAACTTTTGACATTACCAATACTTATATTTTATATAGTACAGACAATATAGTGAATACACGTGAACAAAGACGCGACGCCTTTTCACCGAGTGATCGAGTTTCCTCCACTCAAATCTGCCGAACTTTATTTTATCTCACAAGTTTTACCGTTGTGTTTGAGATTATATTTCTAGGCCGAGCAGCCATACAACTTTGATCATATTTCCCGGAGCGCGAGTAACTCATTTTATTGATTTAGAAAATTCTTATTTCACGAATCAGCGGAAAGCTTTCAAAGACATATTTCGAATTACAGGGAACTCTTGAATCTTTGAATAGATTTAAATAATCGTTCTATTACAAAGCTACTTTCCTGAAATGTAGGGCTTGTTTCTACAGATGTATGAGAAAAAATCCAGAAACAGATTAATTAAAAGAATTATACATTTCATTTAGTCAATTTCATCTTCAACGGAAACGCCTGCTTAGAGTATGTCAACAATTTACGTTTTGTTTTAGATAAAATTCATTGTATAAGAGAAACAAATGAAGTCGAGGGTATCTCACGGTATTCGTTCACGCTAAACAGGCAACAGCGAAGTTAATAACTACGCTACAAGCTTCAGCTGTAACAAGGATAATTAACAATCACTTCGAACTCATTGTTTGAATCCAGGCTAGGCGTAACTCACTTTGAAGCTCCATCAGTCGGCTCTATTAATGTGACTCCACTAATGAAGCCCCAATAATGATAATACATTATAATATACTATAGGGCTAACAAAGTCTATTTAAATGTAGCCTTTATTATTTTATAAAACAAGGAGCCCCACAGTAACTACATAAACTAAAATAAAAAAGGGGTTTCTTTATTATAAGTACCTAGAGACTACATTTATTATAAATTAAATAGGCTGCTTAATATCTACCTGCTCACCGTGCACAATCTAAAAAAACGATTTTCCGAAGAAGGTAGCATTCCTTACTTCTATAGCATCTCCAACTGCGTAAGCTAGTGCTTATGAACATACAATACGCAGAGATGGAGATGCTCCTGAGACCTAACATATAGAGGTTATACATTACACTCATTCACTCACAAGCACCCACACACTCACTGAATCACTCACATGCACCCACACATTCACTCATGCACTCACGCAAGTTGTAAACAGTTTGAAAAAATTTGTTATGAAAGTTACGAATAATTTTGTTATGGTTAAACAAATTTTAGTTTTTTATATAATTTTCATGCATTACAATTTTAAGTAAAATAATATCTGTGTCAGGATTCCCAGCTCTTCTATAAAAATGTTAATACACATATATTTTACTTTAATATTACTAAATTTTACTTAAAAATAACATTTATTTTTCGCACTTCTTTCTCCTGAGTAGCGACCAGTCTATATTTTTTACAAATAGTTTTTTAAAGTACAAGTTGAATGTTTTCCTGAGATTCGGAGAGAAAGAATAGTCGGCAATGGTATGTTAATTTGATATAGATTACATTTTAATAAAGAGTGAGCACGGAAAATCACAAATTTGCACAAAATGACAAGTGTTATATGAAAGGAGAGTTCGTAACAAGCGTTTAATTATTTTCACTGTTTGCAGTCGCTTAAATATAGTAGGGCTGTCGAAAGTTGTAAAAATTGGAGTACATATTTCTGAATTGCTGCGCCGACCATAATACAATAATTTAATACATAACAGAATTATGGTTGGGACAAAATTGATCTAACGCTAGTCCCTGTGTTGTGGGTAACTAGATTACAATTATTCCGTGGTACATGGTGCATGTTGAAAAGAAGTTTTTAAAGAAATAGTGTTACATCTAAACAGCTGACTATAGTATGTGCGCTGAAGCATGGTGCGGGTGACAGTTTCAGTATCGTTTCGTTTCATTCTTGAAAGTTGCCGCGATTAACATATTATGACTTAGTATTTCAGCTGTACCACATTCGTAATATATTAAATCATTTAAAAACTGTAGTAACTTCAATTTAACCCAGCCAGAATGTTCTAATCTACAAATAAAATCAAATTGAAAGAAAAATTAAGCAACTGTCACCCGCACCATGCTATAGCGCACATACTAGAGTAAGTAAGTAAGTATGTTTCTGAAGCTTTATTTAGTTTTAAAGGATCTACCTTTGTTCTTTCACAGCGTTCCTATATCGAGTAGTAATTATGTCCTTATAAATAAACCTTAATAATATATATGTTAGCTGTGGCTTGAGCTTGCGACTGATCCCTGAGGTCGTAGGTTCGAACCCCGGCTGTGCACCAATCGACCTTTCTGCGCATTTAACACTCGCACGTACGGTAGAGGAAACCGTGCTTTAGACATAAAAAGTCGACGACATGTGTCAGGCACAGATGGTTGATATACTTGCTGGCCTATTAAATAACAAACGATTACGAAATAGATACAGAAACCTGAGGCCCAGACATTAAAGGATTGTAGTGCAAATGTTTTTTTGTTTGAATTAGATTTAGTTTGCTTGAATTGTGTGTTTATTTATTCTCAGTATCAAGTTTGCCTGTCTCTGTCTAATTGAAATTGAGAAAATAAGTATTCTAGTCACTGAAAATCAGTGTTGTGGTCCGTTGACCGGTTGACCGTGTATCAATCCGGGTGTTCATTGCGAGTAAACTGTGTGAGCCACCACACTTCGCACTTGTATTAATGTAGAGCTGTGTCGGGAATTTATTGCACATAATGCAATTTAGAAGTATTTAAAACACTCACACTCACTTACTCCGTGCTTTGGGGCCCAAAATGTTTCTAGACCTCCAAAACGAATTTTTTTTTAGTGTTCTCTGTCCAGGTCCACATTCCGCCAAAAAAGTCTGTTTTTTCTGTTCTACACAATATTTCAAATTAACAATATTAATTTTTTTACGCATTGGCAACCCTAGACCAGCAGTGTAATTCGAGGCGAGCTATTGGAAGGCAATAATCTCGGAACTTTTGCTATTAGGCGGCTGATTGCAGGGTTGTCTCCGGCGGATTAATTTGAAAAGTTGCCAGCGATGCAACTTAACCCATTTAAATCATTTTTGCATTACACTTTTAAATTATCGCAATTGGCTCGTACTTTTAAAATTCCACTCGTTTGATTCTATAAATTCTAGATGATAATTCAAAACTGTTTATTTTACTGTTCTCTAATGAATAACTAACTTAATAGCTAACAATAGGTACGTCCAATAACCTATAAATAAGTAATGAATTCGTTTTTGCTATACGAACCAAAATGGAATACTAGTATAAGAGTAGTAGTACGCGTCAAGCGTGAGCGGTCCATTTTTAAACCCAAGGTAATTGCTTCTTTGAACGCACGACGCAAAGCCTGAGAGTTGTGCAGCGGGGCGATGGAGCGTGCATTGCTTGAAATGAGGCCAATCGTGGAAAGACCGGAGTGAGTGAGTGACCTAGATGAACGCGGAAGAGCTGTCGCAACATCTAAGCGACGGTGGACAAGCCACATAGCTCGCATGGACAAGATCCTCCGTGAATGGAGACCTTGGCAAATCAAAAGACCGCGCGGCCGTCCACCGACTAGGTAGACTGAAGACATCGTAAAGGAGGTTGGCTCCCAGTAAAGAGGCGAGGCCTACGTCCATAAACGGACCAAACAAAGAGGCTGATGATGATTTCCTTTCTACATTAATAAACACTTGGTCGTACAGTGAAGTTCAACGTTGTGAAAGAATCTAGCACGTCTCGGGTCCAATACGATTTTTCTAACAATAATTTTATACCAAATTCAAGGCTGATAATACTGGAGAACACCTGCAATAGATATAAATACTTATAATTGAATCGTTCTCAATTTGTAAAGTCGGTTAAACCAGGTGGCCTTCGCAGAAACAATACCATTGTATAAATGTAAAAATTTATAAAACATTTAATTCGTAGCCCATTGTTTCCTTCAACTCTTTGAATTGAACGTTTGATTGGCTTTTAACAAAATTGCCATTGAACAATCAAAGGCACAATACAACGGGAATTTATTGACGATAATTAACAATTATTGTTGCAAATTATGTAAGGCTTTGATGTTTATAAATTATTTTTAGCTTAAAATAGTATAAAGCAGCAGTGTTGACGTAGTGACTTCAGCGTACTACTCTAATCCCTCGGTAAGGTCGTAGGTTCGATCCCTTGCATCAATCGACTTTCTTTCTCTGTGCGCATTTAACAAAAAATCGTTAGGTAACCAGCTTCCCTTAGACCGACGACGGCGTGTGTCAGGCACAGGAAGCTGATCACCTAAACGATTGACAAATAAACAGATACAGAAATCTGAGGCCCAGACCTAAAAAGATTGTAGCGCCACTGATTTATTTTCATTTTTTATATTTTTATATATTAGCATTTAATTATGCATTCGTATAAACATACACATCAAATTCGAATTGTAAAATTATATATAATATACGAAAAAGCGCTTACGCGTCAATATCAAGTTCGTGCATACATGTTTTGGCCCCAAAGCCATCTATTATGTATATAAAATTATCGTGTCATAATGTTTGTTCTCATACTCCTCCGAAACGGTTTGACCGATTCTTATGAATGTTTTTATGCATATTCAGTAAGTCTGAGAATCGGCACACGCAAAAAAAAAATATATATTTTTTAGAATTTTTTTTTTTGTTTTTATTTTTTTATTATGCAACATACAAAAATACATACAACCCCTAATTTTCACTCCTCTACGATCAACCCCTATTTTTAGATTATTGTAGATAGTTATTTTTATTGAACTAAAAAAATGTTTCCTAGAAATTAATATACATGGCAAAACAAACGTTTGCCGGGTCAGCTAGTAATCTTATAACTATTAAGAGTAGATAGTGCAATACTAAATATCTAAAACAAATATATATTTATTATTAATAGATTATATTTAACTTGAGGCTGTATAATTGTGATGATATAAAACAGTAGAAAGTATATTAGGATTTAATTGTGTATAAACATTAAACATACAAATCAAATTTTAATAGAAAAATTAAAAATCTATTCATATTAATATACGTAAATAAGAAAATGTAAGAGACACATTTTTCCGACTTAATCACTGATTATGTAAATAGGGTAAGAAATATACAAAGGCCAATGCAATTTAAAAAACCATAGTAAAAAGAAGTTTCTACATTTATTTTAATCTCTGTTGTCTTTTCACGGTGTTTGAACACTAGGGATCCGCCACGGAAGAGCACGTAATGTTCTATATAAAACTCGCGAATTTATGCAGGACGTCGCGTCGATCCCATTGGGCAATGAGTGTTATGAAATAGAGCGCGCACTGCTCAAATTCTAACATCTGCGGGCATCATGATTTATCTACTAGTAGGTGTTTTGGCCCCAAAGCCACTATCTTGTACCAGTAAGGGAGGCAGGTAAAATTCCAATCTAGACTAATTACCTAAATAACATCATACTAGCGCTAAGGGCTAAGCTACTTACTTAATCTTATAAGTATTCAGAGTCGAGACTACTAAAACAAAATAGTAAAAAAAACATTAATAATGCGGTTACTAAAATATTAATCCACACCTCGCGTAATTATTAATATCATATGTATATATGACGATAGATTAAAAGGTTCCGGTGAAAATGAAGGTATCTTTTGCAAAAGGTAATTAAAATTGCCGGAATATAAAGGACTGTAACTAGCGGCTTCTCAGTGAATTAATTAATTTATTCAGTGGTTGTGATCATTAATTCAGCTGATAATTAACGATGGAAACTGTTTTCATTTCGCACTTCACTCGCTTAAAAATGTTAATTTAATTTAATTAATATTGGATCGCTTACGAACTTCTGTTTCCTTTGTTCACACAAAAAGTTCTTTGATAACTGTACCGCGTTTTTTGATTGTGATTGGTCAATAATAACTGATTTTATTAAAATTTTATGCCCTGGTTACGCAAAATTCTTATTTTCGATAACACCTCCAGTGACGCGACCAATAGAAAAAAATTATGAACTCTGCGTCAGAATCCTTGGTTCTTATGTGTTTTTTCTTTGTGTCTCGATTTGTAAGCAATTATTGGCAAATGTCAATTAAAATTATGACAATATAATAGATATAACGATTTCTTATTTTGCATATTACTATTATTTGACCCGGCGAACTTCGTACTGCCAAACAGCCACTGAATGCCTTGATAGAGATTCGCTGAAATTTATGATTTTATGAAAGTGTAATATGAATACAAAATTAATTTTAGGTTCACTACTTTATAAAGAAATTAACACAAAAAGAAAAAAGCGACATGCATAAAAATTTGATTTCGCTTTTTCATTACTGACATAACAATATATAATAAATTCTACAATTTTAAAATCTTAAATACGCCATTATCTGAATATTGTGGATATATCTTGTCAATTCGAAACCATTATTTAAATACGTTCATTAATTTGAGGAGAGAGTCGATGCGCGACGGGATGAACATTTAATGTTAGACAGTTTTCCTAACTGAACATTTTGTATCAATTTTTTTTGCTTATATTTTTTTTAATTCAAGTTTTCCATTGTTTTCATATATTTATTCTGTGTTTTACCCAACTTGATTTTATATATTAAGATTATTGAATATATAACTTAAAAGTTCTTGCAGTAGCGATAGCATATAAAATTTGTCTCGGTTTTTCGTATCGTAATATTTGAAACCTCAAAACATTTTAAACATAAGCTGCAGAAGTAATAGAAGATAAACCAGCTTTGTGACTATTATAAAATAGTTTATTGATATAAATGCTGTTTCTTTTCAGGTATCAGGTGTCGTGGGTCGCGCAGACGTGTTGGCGTGTTTTTTCTTCCTTTCTTCTCTTCTACTTTACCACGGGTAAGTCTTATAATTAATATAGTATTATAAATTTACAATGCTCTACAAAGTGTTTTATTTAAATCACTGTTATGACGAAAAAAAGTTGTATGAGTAATTGTCTCCAATAATTATAATATTTTTTGTTTTCCTGTTTGACCAAATTATTAAACAATGAAAGAGATAAATGAGATAAGAAGAGTTTTCGTTCTTTTGCAGTAGACCAAGTGTCGTTACATAGATTTCCTACATTACATATTATAGAAAATATGATGGCTAATCTCGCGGTAATCGGCTACATTTTCCTCCTCTCACTATTTATCTATTCTGCAAAATATATCAACCAGTATTAAGCATTGTTTCGTTATGAAACTGAATTTTTGTGAAATGTACTTTTATACTGTTAGTTAATATTTATTTTTATACGCCAGTCACGTGACAAGGTGTACAAGGATTAGTCGAATCGACGATGACTAGCGTGCTTGTAATATGTCGTCGCCTGATCCTAATACTGTCTTGGAGTTTGTCTGTTTTTGATGGAAATATAATACATATATGTGTATTTCTACAATTTAAGAATGATAATTAAGACGTAAAAAACTTAACGCCTAAAGTGAAATTATGAATGTTTAATTTAAATTTTCAAGGTTAACAGAAATAAATATAACAATTTGTATCGGATCTATAGACACTAATAAAAATCTGAAACGGTCTTTAAAGACATTTAGTATTATAATGGGTAATAGAATGAACAAGGTGAGTCGAGGTTACTGGTAAGTGCATGCCAATTAATTAAACGTCAAGTTATGACAGCTAAGCGCAAGTGAGACAAAAGTTCAGCATTTCTCAAGATCTTTAAGAAAGTGTAAATGAGGTTCTAACGTGGGAATAGTTTTCAACTCGCCTGATGTTGTTACCAACTTGCCTCTTGTTTCGGGACTTTGGGATAAAGGCCCGGGAAAGTTTCGTATCGGCCCCGGGGACGTCCCAAATCGCCGGGATTATGCTATTAGTATGATGTCGCGTGAAATATTCGACCGCGGGTCCGACTTGTTAGGCTTGCCTAATTTGAGTCTGAAAAGCATCGTTAATATGACCTGTATTACTAAAGTTGTACTTAAGTCAAATACCTATTCATATTCAAACTCAAAATAACTTTACTCATATAGGTAATCAAGTACACTTATGAACGTCAACAGAAAAGATGTTAAATTGATTCTAAATTTACATTGACTACCAGTTCGCAAGTCAAGGGTAAGGGTCGTCAAGTTTTGATTCGTTAAAATTGTTTGTAAGGCAAACCAGCCATAAATATTTGAGCTGGAGCAAATCAATCCCAAGTATAAGGATCATTTAAATAATCGTCACATTTATAAAAGGCTTGATTGATTAATTATGTTTATGTTTAACGAGTGTTTTGAATTTATTGAGTGATATTTCACTAATTTCGCTTGGGAGTTTGATGTAAAAACGAATACAATTTCCATATAAGGAGTGGTTTATCTCCTGGAGCCTGGTTGGTTGTACGCTCAAATTCGTTCTGTTTCGAGTATTATACTGGTGAAAGTCACCATTTGTTTAAATATCGTTTATATTTTTTACAACAACAAAGTTTTAAAAATTGACCAGATAGTGTCAAAAATATTTAATTCCTTAAACTTCTTAATTCTAAAAAAATATAATTTCGAAATTTCGACTATTTTCGTAGGAAACCTTATACGTATAACGTTTTGATAAGGGTTGTGAAATTTGTCAAGATAATCCATGACATGAAACTTTAAAACAAGCAAGCTTAGTTTTTGAAAATGATATGCTTATGAGACGAAATAAATTTATGAGGTTTGAAGTATACTGTATAATGCTAATCATCGTAATACTTTTGGATAATATTGTTGAGTACAAGGTTCCGGCTAAAGGTGGAAAAGGAAACGATCTTCTGCAATAATTAAAAGTATATTACATATGAAGTTATAAAATAATAATCGCTTAGGAGTGCCTATAAGTGTCTCTGTGGCTTTGAAGTAAGTAGCCTTGGACACCATGGCCTACATTGCCAAAAGAGTGAAGGTCGTTTTTCTCGCCACGCCGCGCTCAACGACACTATACGCCGCTCTCTTGCTTCCGTCAAGGTTTCACCAATTTTCGAGCCAATAGGCATCGCAAGAGACGATGGCAAGTGGCTGGACGGGATGTCATTAATCCCTTGGAAAATGGGACGGGCTTTAGTATGGGATGCTACTTGTGTGAACACGTTTGCCCCGTCTCACCTCCATCGGCATAAATATAAGAGTCTTTCCTCCAACTTCGATTTTGTTCCCTTTGGATTAGAAACTCAAGTGCACTGGCGCCTGGTAGATAGTAACGGTGACCACAGAGCTGGTGCTTTCCTAGCTCAAGAAATAAGTATCTCAATACAGCGATGAAATGCTGCCAGCGTTAAAGGTACACTGCCACAGGGACCAAACTTTTAAATTTGTTTTGATTTCCTTTTTAATTATTACTTTGTAGTTTAAGAAAATTGTAAATACTGTATCCTTGATTGTAGTCAATAAAAGTTATAAAAAATATTACTAATAAAAATATTATTAAGGAGCAAACCACTCGCCCCACGCTAACCCGTAACTGCATCATCAGTCGCTACGCATTCAACTACTTTAATGGACAATATACATAATTGTGTCCCTATAATAAATTTAAAAGCACCTCTTTAGTACTCATAAAAGCAATGTCAGTGATGTTAGAACGCGTTTTAATTTGGTGCACAGTGCAGTTTGAAATGTGCGATACTTATTGACTACCAACAGAAAATATAAAACTAACGTAACGTAAAAATATTTAAAATTTTAAGAAGATTTCATATCTTTTGATTCAGTTTAAGTTCATATAAAAACAATTTATTTTATATTTTTCAGTTGTACCAGTCGTCACCGTGTGGTATGGAGTATTGTGTTGGCGGCTCTCAGTATGTTCGCTAAGGAGACTGGTCTCACTGCGCTTCTCTTCAATATTGTCTTTGACTTGTACAAATGTTGGGGAACATTATTCAGGTATGATCTGTAATGTACATTAGATTGATAATTTTATTCTGACATAAAAGATACCGGGCACTAATTGGTTTTGGAAGGCACAATCAAGGGAACTAAGAAAGGACTCAGAAGAACTAAGAAGGTCCTTAGTAATATCACTTTGAAAAGGGTTTCATACTAACTTAATTTTTCTTTTAAATTGCAGTCAACTTCGGGCTAAAATATCGTAAGAAAACTGGCAGGCTTTAAACCCTGATCAAAGACTGATCACTTTTATACCTATAAAAAGTATGTATAAGAAACAGATACAAAATCTGTGTATACAAAACTTGTATGTTATTTAAAAACGTGGTATTAGCCTCAAATAGCACATGGGTGTTTTGTACTTTACGTTGATCTCACTTTAAAGAAATGAATATGTGACATGTCCAAAAAATAACTTACGAATAAAATCTCTAAACAGCTTCATTAAATTTATCTTAAGAGCGACCTCTATGGAAATTGACAGTTATTACAATGTCATTCAATACGTGATTCTTAAATTAATGTAGGTTTCAACCCATGGTAGACAAATAATCATCTAAGTTTATATTTTATTGTTGTTACTGGCTGGTATAATTCTAGACTTTTAAATTTTATATAGGTAAATACCATACTTCGAAGCTTTTTGCAAGTTTTGTCTTGTTCCTATAGATGTCGTTATTTCAATATGTTGAACGCCATCTAGTAGATTAGTTCTTAAGTATCGTAATCGTATATAAACTGCAACATTGTTGTTTATTATAGGAAAAAATGTTACAATGGCTTATTACGGTACAGGTTAGAAGTCACTTTGACAATATTTTTATTATTTTTATGCTAAAAAGCGCTCCAGTCTAAACTCCATAGTCAAGGACGTTCACATTTTACCTAATCTGTGACCGCGCCGCGGTTTGGCGCCATTCGTACGATTAATCCTTTGATATATAATAATATTGTCCTTAGTAATTATTATGCTCAATCGTCAATTCTTTAACTACTGATGAAAATAATCAGTAAATATAATTTTAGTAAAAAAAAATATTATTTAACTTTTGAAGCTTTTATGTTTATTTTTTCTTTTTCCAGTTATTGTTTTACGCATTTATTGAAACCCGTAATATTTTAGATGTTTAAAATAATCTTTCAAAACAAATTACTTAACTGATTCATTAATTTTTTTTTACATGGAAATGAAGGACAAATCTATCCCGAAAATCGGACTTAATCTATTATTTAATATATGAGATAAAAATAATCCAAACGTCGTTTTGATTTTAGATCTCCTGTTCGTTGGCGATGGAAAGGCGATAATGTATGGAGCCGTGTGAGCAGGGGTCTCTTAGCTTTGGTCATATTAGCGGGCTTCCGACTGATTCTTCTACAAGGATCTCTTCCAGCATTTTCACCACAAGATAACCCTCCAGCCTTTCATCCCTCATTCACTGTTAGGTAATCTATTATTTGGATGTTTCAATGCATATTTATAAAAATCTATAAGATGTTTTTCTCAAGAATGAATATCTCTGGGTCCATTGAAACATAACAACCATTAAATTAAGATTTCAATTTTTTATTGAAGCCTGATGGTCCGGCATTCGATGCATTCTAAACTAAAAAAACACAAAAATACCCAATTAAGTTAAGAATTTAGACCTTTTTAGTTATGTTTAGATTAACATCTTAATGCCATCATATACGAACCTGTAGTAGACATGTTTTTAAGTTAAGATTAGTATTTTAATGGAATGAAGTACTAATAATCTTCCTAAATTCCTAAAATAAACCACAGGCAAAAATTGTTTATAAAAATATCTAGCTTTGCTAGTTTCTTTATGTCATATTTGATTGATTTTAAATTACCTCTTAATCTATATAAGCTCAAAATGGAGACAGCTTGACTAATTCAAGTATGTTTTTAAATTTATTGAACTATAAGGTAGGTTTTAATTGAGCAAAAAATAAAAAATAAAGTTTTTTATAAATTGTCTCTTCACCTATCTTAAGACTAATAAGTAAATGAATTCTAACCTAATTGACTATTAAAGATATTTAACATAAGAAAGTGTACTAACACTAAATCACTAATTCAAGTGGAGAAAGGGTAAACAACCCATACTATGGAGAATTACTCAAAAACTACTGTACTGATTTCGATAAATCTAAAGTTGCCTGCTTAAAATAAAAATCATGTCCATGTATGTTTTAGTTTCTGAGAAACTTCAGACAATCATGCACTCACGAAATTTAAAACATACTTGAAAGCCTAAATACATTATGATGTATTTAGGTTTGGTACGTTTTTTTTTTTTGGGTATACCCAAATGCAAAAAAAAATCGGTTAAAATGAGAGTAATATTTCAGGTTGTTGACGTTCTGCTACCTGGCCGCATTCAACTGGTGGCTACTGATTTGCCCCTGGACCTTGAGTCATGATTGGCAGATGGGTTCAGTACCACTCGTAACCACGCTCTGGGACTATAGGAATCTGCTCACTGGCGCCGTCATTTTGGCCTTGCTGGCCTTGACCTATAGATTTGTTATGGACTTAGAGGTATCCAGTCTTTTTTAATAATACGTTTAGGTTTCATAAGAACATATAGAAATTCATGTAAGGCGAAAGGCGTATTAAGCAGGAAGCTTAATGTTATCACGAACTGTAAGCGAGTTCAAACAAGGTCATCACTCCTTTCGAATTAAATATGAATATTTAAGCTGAACCATTTTTTTGGCTATGGAAGCGTTCAAATATTATGTCACGCAATTTTTGGAGATTCTTGACACCACCCCTTGGACTCGCCGTATCGTTTTTCTGTACACAATAGTAAAACGTTTCGTGACCACCCGTGACTCTTTATATCTAAAAGTTAACATTTTATGGTGTTAAGTACCGGAAAGTCGAAAATAATATGAACAATAACGAGGAATAAAATTCTTAGCATAATACTTGAACGCTCCTTTTGTAAAATAGTTTTATTTTTGATTCATTTTGAGTCCAGAAGGCTGGAAATCTTATGGTATTTTCAAAATAAATAAACATTTTTGTATAGATACTTGATACATCCAAAAACATCAGTCCATTCGAATTAAAGATGATAATATAATTCAAGCTAAAATAAAAGTTATAAAACCCGCATTTTCTTCATGGTTATAAAAAATATTGTCATTAGTAAAGGCATAAAGGCCAAAAATGTCATTTCAAAATAAATTAAATTAAGTGTTTAAGTTGACTATTTATCCCAAAGGTTTTGTAAAATATTTTTTTCAGCTACAACGACATACACCAGCAGTGGCGGGTCTATTGCTGCTCATCATCCCGTATTTGCCAGCTTCGAATTTACTGGTCACTGTGGGCTTTGTGGTCGCTGAAAGAGTGCTTTATATACCAAGGTATAATCTATTAAAATATCCTGCAGATTTTAAAATATGGATACATAGTTTAAAACTTACCTGTACATTAAACTTCAGTTATAAAAATAAAATAACTAATTTCTACTTTTCTCTCACAGAAAGCATAAACCAGACTTTGTCCAGTACTCTAGGTCTTAGCCTCAGATTTCTTTTCTTAATAGGCAAGAAGGTAATCAGCCTGCAGCCCATTTGACACATTTATAAAAAACTCCATTGCTGCCCGTGATTCGAACGCACTACTAACAAGTGAAAAGTCACTACTAACATCAACTGTTCACAGCTGATGAAGTCTAAATTAATTATTTCCAGCGTGGGTTCAGTATTACTGACGGTGTGCGGGATGCAGGCGTTATGGCGTCGTGGGGGTGGGAGTGGGAAGCGGCTGATGGCGCTGGGCGTGGCCGTGGTGGTAGCCGGTGGTGCTGCACGAACAGTGCTACGGAACCAGGACTGGCGTACGAGGGAGACGATACTTAGGTAAATTTTGTCCCCGGTGTGGCGAGGCAAAAGAAATTTACTCCATAATTCGAGTATTCATGCTACAAACACAAACATATTGAAGCTTTTTTCCAGATATATAAAATATCATTATTTATATAACATAAAAAAATCAAAAAGTTATATAACATAATTTCAAAGTTTTGATTAATTTATTACATAATAATACCTTGAACAACTTCGTTAGTTCTATTATTCTTCTTTCTGAGTTAGTACAGCCTTGGCTCGTAAACATCAACTCATATAATCAGGCTTTTGAATATTATATATCTTTGCTATGAATGTGTTGAGTTGCTATGGACTATCTAAAGTTAGTAACTATTTTTTGGGAAAAGGGATACTTTTCTTTAACAAAATCCCAGAGGCTCTTTTATCTCTGCCATTTAATAAATTTATTAAAGAAAAGCTGTGTAAAAAAGGCTTACTATAAAGTTAACGAATATCTAGTTGATAATGCCTGGGACAAGTGCTAGACAGCCTACTTAATGCAAAAAAGATAAAATGCATTAAATTTTGTGCAAAAAATGCAAGGGTTATGGATACTAGACCAATTATAAACGGTGAGGAATTGAATCTGGATGCAACTGTATTTCTCGGAATCACCATGGATTCAAAACTTCAGTGGTCCCCTCATATTAACGGATTGGCGAAGAGACTTAGTTCTGCAGCCTACGCGGTTAAAAAAATTCGCTCACTAACTGATGTCGATACAGCTAGACTTGTTTATTTTAGTTACTTTCATAGCTTAATGACTTATGGCTTATTATTATGGGGTCATGCTGCTGATGTCGAAACTATTTTCATCCTGCAGAAGAGAGCTATTCGTGCAATCTATAATTTAAAATGTAGGGAATCTCTTAGAGATAAATTCAAGGAAATTAATATACTTACCTTTCCCTCGAAATATATTTATGAAAATATTATGTATGTATACAAAAATAGTGATAAGTTTACTAGAATAGAACATACGCACAATGTTAATACACGGAACAAACGCAGGCTGCAATTTCCCCGTACTAGACTATCTAAAGTTAGTAATTCTTTTTTGGGGAAAGGGATAGTCTTCTTTAATAAAATCCCAGAGGCTCTTTTATCACTGCCTTTCAATAAATTTAAGAAATGTATTAAAGAAAAGCTGTGTAAAAAGGCTTACTATAAAGTCAACGATTATCTAGTTGATAAAAGGGCCTGGGACTAGTGCTAGACAGGCTACTTCTAATTAATTTGCGATATTTGTTTTAAATTAGTGTTGTTTGATGATTTGCTGTTTTAAAAGAGTACCGAGAGTTTTTTACGCTGGCTTTTTCTCTCGGCCTACACCCTCTGTCTTCTTTGCCGATGAGTAGGGATGCCTTCAAATTGAATGACGTGGAATAAGTGATACATGTATCTTATGTTCCATAATAAACATATTTTATTTTATTTTTTATTTTACTTCTAATTAATTTGATTTGCTATTTTAAAAGAGTACCCAGAGTTTTTTACGCCGGCTTTTTCTCTCGGCCTACAGCCTCTGTCTTCTTTGCCGATGAGTAGGGATGCCAACAAATTAAATTTAATGACTGGGATAAGTGATACCTGTATCTTATGTTCCATAATAAACATATTTTATATTATGTGACTTTAACTTCTAAAGAATTCTGCGAATTGATACTCAAACCACAAATTTGTCGGGAATTGGACGAAAATACTGCTTTAAAAAAATCTAAGTTTCGTAGCAATTACGACTGGTATTTGTACCATGACTTTCTATACAGAATACAGCAACGATTTTGTATGTAAAACATTTCAGAGCTGACCTAGCCGTTTTGCCTCACAACGCGAAATTGCATTACAATTTTGCAAATTTCCTGAAAGACATCGAGCAACAAGAGAACGCAATAAAACATTATAAAGAAGCATTGCGGTAAGTTGTAATAGTTATTTATTTTATTGGGTTGTATACTAATTTCTTTTGAATAGACTTCATTGCTCAAAATAATATCGTTAAAAAAATTTTTTTTCAAGAATTTGGTTAGTTAAAAGCTCTACCTATAGAAAAATGACTGAATGAATGTTATTTTTGTTTTTTTGGTTAGATTTTTTAATCTATGTACAAAAAAAATATAATACTAGCGGATGGCCCATGCCCATGGGTTTTGGTGAAATGATAGGACGCAGTAGCTTTATAATGATGTATTTTTTTTAGTGGGTGTCCATGGGCTTTTTAGACTGCCCTTTTTGGGCATCCCATCGTTTTCCCCCCCTATTCTGTAAAAAAATTAAGATTTCTTTTCTTTTTCTCTTAATAAGTCGAGACAGAATACGAAATTCCACCCGTGTCACCTCGACGTCCGTCGTTCCACAACTGAGCGTTTATAAGGCACCACATTATTTGAAACCAGCTGCCTACCGATGTACTTCCGAACCAATTCAACTTAGGGTCTTTCAAGAAAAGAGCGTACCAATTCTTAAAAGGCCGGCAACGCACTTGCGAGCCTTCTAGCAATGTGTGTCTATGGACGGCCATTTAACTTTAAATGAGTCTCCTGCCCGTTTGCCGCCTGTTATATTTAAAAACCTTTTAGATGACTAAATATCTTAAGTCTAAACGGAATATTACAGACTGTGGCCGAGTTACGCGAGCGCGCACAATAACCTGGGCACGCTGGAAGTCTGGTCGGGACGCGCTGAGCACCACTTCCTTCTGGCTCTGCGGTACAACGCGAGGCACCTCAACGCGCACTATAACCTGGCGAGGCTTTATCGGTCAGTCACTTATGGAATTTGATGTCTTACAGAAAGGCAGATGAAACGGAAAACAGCTTGTTTATTATCAAATAAAATGTGAAGCCAAGCTCCAGAAACACAGTTCTTACTAAATCAGCCGGGCATATGTGCTTTTATTACTTGTTTTGTTGACAATTATTATTATTTACATTGCAACAGGAAAAATATTAATTTCTTATAAATACATGTATGTTATAATGTGTCAATAAATGATAAGCAACCGAATTCTATGTGGTCCAAGTCGCTGGTATCAGCTTGTCAAATAATTAAAAATATTACACAATAAGTAAATAATTTATTTTTTACGTAAAACTTATTATGTCCCCTAATTAATATTTAATGTTATAATCATGAAATGTTCTATTCTTGATAATTTTAATACAATGTACTTAGCTAATCAGTTAACGACCGAATGCAACAAAGTCGTGACGTCAAAGTAAAGCTTGCAAAAGTTCTCATAATATTTACATTTAGCAACTTTTAATGCAAGATCAACAGATGACACTATGAGAGATTATTCATAAACTAATTATTTTTTTAAAGGTAAAATATATTAGATTTCTTATAGTATATTTATGATTATGTGGTAAAAAAGTCAGGCGAATTCTGTTATTTCAGGGTTCCATAAAAAATTTAAACTGTTACCGAAATTCATCTAAACTTCTTTATTCGTTTTGTTTTTAAATAAAGTAATTAAGTTTTACAATTTTCACTTCGTCACAACTGAACAGTTGCCTTCATGGATATTTTTACAAGCACTGTGCAATAATTTGTAGATTTTTATATGCGCAATATTTTGTTAATAACAATTAAAATTTAATTTTGTTTACGGAGACTTACTCTAAAAAATAAATTCTCGATAAAATCCGTTGTATAAGATTTAGTTTTAATACGAATTGTACAAAGTTTACCAAATTGGCTAATGTTAAAATAAAGTGTTACAATATTTTCAGCAAGAAGAATCGCATCGCGGAATCCTTGAAGATGCTGGAGCGCTGCATTTCCCTGGAGCCTCGGTTTGTCCCCGCCCACGTGGAGATGTTCCTGACAGCTGCTGGCCAAGACAAGCACGCCGCCTTGCGCCGCCTGTTAGACCTGGAGCCACGCAACTGGGAACATTATTACCGCTACGGGAACTGGCTGAAGGGGAAAGGTGAGTATCGTGTAAAAGCTTAAAAAAAATCCATTTTCAAGTCTCTTTTGCGGCCAGATACAATAATGTGCCTGTTTTTTTCTGTTTATTTTTGTATGAGCTGTATATAGATAATAATGGTGCAATACTCCAAAACTATTATTTTTGTTGTTGAACTGTTGAATCCATGTTTACCAATCATACTCAACTCGGCCTAAGACAGATAGATATTGATACAATATATACGAAAAATCGGTTTTTACATTTTACGGTCGAATATGAATCTGGCATTTTATTTTATTTACCAGTTAATAAAAACCTACCAAACTACAAAAACATACAAAAAATATACATGATTTTTTTTACAGAAGAACACTGCTAAATCTCTTTTATTAGTTCTGTTTTATTAGACTTCCAAAAACTATCCTCAAATGATGAACTTCTGCTTGCTAGATCTATACGAAGTAACATTGCCTACTTTCCATTCAATTCCAACACACAATCTAGTCTTGAACATTTATTTACTATAAAAGCTTTCCAACACTTGGTACACAGACACATTGATACAAGAAAATTTAAATACACCATTAATGTGACAGACTTTATAGGCACTAATATGTCCGTCAGGCGCTAACGAGCGGTTGTGTGAAGTATTGTTAAATTCAATAAACTAGTAAATACAAAGTGAATCCTATTGAAAAGTGCATCCATTACTTTAATAAGGTACTGTAAACAACATACATTGGAGTTCTTTCTCAGGCATCCCGATTTATTGAGAAATTAGTGAAATACATATACTGAACAATTTATATTACAAAAATACCCTCACAGATATTAATTTGGCGACAAATTTTTTTTGTTTTTACCCGTCATTTCTACCTTTCTCGTTATCTTAATCAAACTTAACTATGGACGGTGTCATCTGGGGTTGTTGTGTGCCCATTGAAGGAAACAATGATTCTAACCTTGCTTGTTCTCAATGCGTAATGAGATACCATTATGCGTGCATGTCTCTTGATGATAGCACTTTTAGTTCTGAGATGAAAAATGTATGGACTTGTCCTGAATGTGTGCTAAAATTATATAAAGGGTTGCACAATGACAATACTCCAGTCCGTAACGTCAACACTTCGAGAGTGACCAAGCGAATGGCATCCCAGTCGCCAATCGTAGTTGGTGAGCAAGGAATCACCCGTGAGGATATTCATAACATCGTTCAGGACGTTTTTAAAGATACCTTGAAGGACTTATTTTGTAAAATTAACGAAAGCATAACAAACGTCCTCCAGAAAGAAATGGATCCCTTCACGAAACAATTATTTGCCATGAGCGAGTCAGCTAAACTAATTTTAGAACAACAAGTTGAACTCAGAAACGAGTGCGAGATCCTTAAGTCTAAAGTAACTGTACTGGAAAGGGAAAGAGAAGATCTTCAAGGCTGCATCAAAGATCTTAAGCTGCGTTGCGATAATACAGAACAATATCTGCGTCATAGTAATATTGAAATACAATGCATTCCTGAAAACAAAAATGAAAACCTGTTAGAGACGGTCTCTATGCTTAGTAAGGCAGTGGGCTGTGAGTTGCATGACAAAGATATTTTAAGCTTCACACGCACCGCAAATGCTAGCCGTACCAGTACTCGCCCGCGATCTATAGTGGTTCAATTATCGTCCCCGCGTATTCGTGACAACCTACTGGCTTCAGTGTCGAGATACAACAGGAACAACTTAAGTAATAAGCTTAGCACAACAGTTCTCGGCTTGCCTGGCAAACCATCACCGATTTACATCAGTGAGCACCTATCGCCAGCTAACAAAGCCTTACATGCGGCTGCTAGATTGAAGGCGAAAACCTTGGGATATAAGTATGTGTGGGTGCGCAATGGCCGCATATATTTAAGAAGGTCCGATGATTCGAGTTACATCTTGGTGCGCAATATGGACACTATTAATTGTTTAGAGTAGGTTGCCTTAACGCCCACAGCAACAATAACAAATAAGATCTGTATGTTTGGTTTAAGTTTGTATTACCAAAATGTTAGAGGTTTAAGAACAAAAACGCATTCCTTTTACTCTCAAGTGGTCTGTAACAATTATGATATTATAGTTTTAACTGAATCATGGTTAAATGACTCGGTCTGTAGCTCAGAGCTGTTTGATGAACGGTATGTGGTGTACAGGCGGGATCGGTCTGAGACCTTAAACTCTCACAAAAAGATGGAGGTGGCACCATTATTGCCATCTCAAAGAAAATTAAATCTAAAAGAATGATTAGTTGGGAATCCGATATCGAAGAAATTTGGGTTCGAGTGGAACTGCCGGCGCCGCATTCCTTTCATCAAATTGATTTCTGTGTAGTTTACTTTCCTCCACCCGTCAACTATTCTGTTAAAAAAATTTACCACAAATTGCAATAAAATTTTCGAATACTCTGTACATCATTGTATTGTCGGTGACTTCAATTTAAGAGATATACGCTGGAGCAATTCTAGTGGTGAATTTTATGTCCCTCCCTCTTGTAAACCATTTATCGATTTCATAGATACTAATAATCTAAAGCAACACAATTCTATACTTAATAATTGTAACAGAATTCTCGACCTTGTACTTACTAATATGCCATTGTGTGAGGTGAGCCATTCATGTGGTGTTTTGAGCGTTATAGATAAACTACATCCTCCCTTGGATATTGAAATCTCCCTAGCCAGCAATCCTGAATTACCTTTTAACATAGTCACGACTAAACGTAATTTCCGTAAAGCTAACTATGACAATATCTTTATTGAGTTAACAAAGTGCGATTGGGAGATGCTTTTCGCTGGAATTGACGATGTCGATTTGATGGTAAATGTTTTTTATTTGAACATACGAGATATAATCAATAAGTACGTCCCTTTAAGCAAACCTAGTAAAAATCACTATCCTCCATGGTTTGATCGAAATTTAATTCGAACTTTAAAAGAGAAGAATAAAATAAGACTACGTTATAAAAAATATAAAAACGCAAGGGACGGGTTAGAACTGACTTTACTAAGTAAAAGATGCAAGAAAATGGCCAGTGATTACTATAAGCGGTATATTTCAGATATAGAAAACAAAATAGACACAAATCCTAAATATTTTTGGTCATATGTAAAAAACAAACGCTGCGGCACTAGTTCTTACCCCTTGGCTATGTCTGATGGATGTACTTCTACCTCTGACGGTTACCAAGTCTGCGAACTTTTCTCCACACATTTTAAAACGGTTTACACTCCTAGTAACAACATTAATTTTAGCCAAAACCAGGAACAGAAATCCTTATTGTCTAAACTGGATAATAGTGCTTTTTACTTGTGTCCGCCGGTTTTGAATTATGAAACTCTTCTTAGGAAACTAATGCACTTGGACCAGTATAAGGGAGCTGGCCCTGACGATATCCCGCCCATTTTTATAAGCAAATGTGCTAAGTATTTGGTTGAACCTCTACTTACAATATACAATAAATCTCTTTCCTCAGGAGTTTTTCCTGACAAATGGAAAACGGCTAAACTGGTACCTATCCATAAGTCGGGGGAAAAAGAGCTGGTAGCGAATTATAGACCTATTTCTATTCTTTCCTCCCTTGCTAAAATACTTGAGTCTCTCGTATGTCCATATCTTAATAAACATTTTGAAAAGTTAATTGCTTCATCACAACATGGGTTTATGCGACGTAGATCAACCACAACTAACCTAGTTGAGTATACTGAATTCATTAGTGATGCATTGGATCGTGGTCTCCAAGTTGACACGATTTACACAGACCTCAGCAAAGCTTTCGATCGAGTTCCTCACTCTATACTTCTGAATAAGTTATCTAGCTACGGCTTATCACCACCTTTTCTTAAATGGATTGAATCTTACTTAAGTAATCGCAATTTTTTTGTTGTCGTTAATGGCTTTAGCTCCGTTATACAGAACATAACCTCCGGTGTACCGCAGGGCTCTCATCTAGGGCCAATACTATTTAATATATTTGTAAATGATTTAACAACTTGTTTTAAGCATTCTAAGGAGTTCATGTATGCAGACGATCTCAAGCTTTGTCGTGTTATCAGTGGTTTCGAGGATTGCTCGATGCTCCAATCTGATCTGAATGAAGTGATTTCATGGTGTGTCTCCAGTGGTATGGAACTGAATGTCCGAAAGTGTCATTTCGTTCGTTTTGCTAGAAAGAGGGATGTTATAGTTTACAATTATCATATGGGTAGCTCGTTACTTCGAGAGGAAAGAGTGGTTCGTGACTTGGGGGTACTTTTTGACAATAAGCTCACTTTCTCAGAACACCAGGACTTTATAATTCAGAAGGCTTCTAGAGTGCTTGGTTTTGTCATAAGGAATACAAAAGGGTTTCGAAGCACCAAATCGAAAATTCTAGTATACAACAGTCTCGTGCGGAGCATTCTAGAATATGGGACAGTTGTATGGAGGCCGCATTATGCGACGCATATGCTACGACTCGAGAGAGTACAAAAGAGGTTACTGTGGCATCTGCTTTTCTCCAGTGGCATCTCGAAAAAAAAGTTGCCAACGTACGAAACGAGGCTGGCGCACTTTAACATGTTGTCACTGGAGAATCGCAGAAAATCAATTGATATATCGTTTGCATTTAAGATATTAAATAATCTGGTTGATTGCCCGAACCTCCTATCTAAATTTAATTTTCGTGTACCCTCTCGATACCCCCGGCATCCCATTGTTCCATTTGTCCCTCCTTTCCGTAGAACGCGATTTGGTCAATACTCACCGATGTCCAGATTAAGCATACTTATAAACGAGCTAGGTCTGGATATACATAGTTGCTCACCTCACAGTATAAAATGGATTTTTGTTTAGTTTTTTTTGTAATTAGAATTTTTTCTTTGCTAAGTAATTGTTTTGTTTTTTTTTTGTTTGGTTTTTTGTAATCAGAATTTTTTCTTTGATAAGCAATTGTTTTTGTTTTGTAATGTTTGTTTTGTTTTGTAATGTTTGTTTTGTTTAATAATCTCTTTATGATCTCTATATATGTATGCTATGTTTACCTATAAGTGCTTGTCACATTAAAAATTGTATTTTGTGTTTGTTTCTACCAATGTCTCAGTGTGCCGAGCGTTGGCAAGCTTTATCAATAAAAAAAAAAAAAAAAAAAAACATAACAAACGCTAAGAGAAAAAAAAATATAAAAAGTAAAAGAAAATAATAATACCGTTTATAAGTAATCATAACAATCAAATTATACAGTATTTACAATTTTTTTAACCTTAGTAATAATAGAAATAAATAATAAAAAGAAAATTAAAACAAACTAAATTAAAATTTGATTTCAAAGTGTGATAGCAACTATGGATATCCAGACCTAGTCAAATGTTTTTTTCTAATCCTCTCAGGTCTGTGGCCTTTATCCCTAAAATACTACCAAAGTGCTGTCCGGGTTTCATATCTAACGTCTCGTCGTGCGGCTCTGCCTCCGTTGACAGCCGCCGCTTTGCTGCTGCGTCGGGATGGGCAAAGGATGCGATTGCTGCATCTACTCACTAGGTAAAGATTAGTCATTTCTCTGTTTTAGCTCTTTTAGATAGTTGCCTGGAAGAGACCGCTTATGTAGCGACACCAACAAACTGCGATGACGTCATACCCTGGCACGCACTAACGAAGTTATTCCGATCGTTAAGTTTATCCAACTCAACTGCGTAACACAAAGTGACACTGTATAAGGTCTGTATCTGACCATGCATGACCTATGCTAGCGTAGTTTTCGCGCACTGTGGTCCCTTTCATATCCACTGGCTACAGATGCTCCAATCACGATTCATGTGTCGCAACAGGTAGATACCATTAAAAAAGAAACGGGCCAGTCAATGATTAAACTGGTGAAGTGATAAAACTTTGCAATCAGCCGTTTATTACCGAATTTACCTGTTTCTTTCAAATTTTTTGTAATCTATATATATATATATATCTTAATATATATATTTCTTCTGTGCGTGTGTATGTGACTGAACTCCTCTCAAACGACTGGACCGATTTTGATGAAATTTTTTGTGTGTGTTCAAGGGGATCTGGGAATGGTTTAGATTCACAAATCAGCCCGGCAGATGGCACTGCAGTCGGTACTTTCATACTTTGCTTAATATCCTAATCGCTTTAAATATCATGCAGGACAACGTCTGTGGGGTCCACTAGTATATATATATAAATCATCAAATTTCAGTCAGTTTTTCAATAAAATTATTGATCCTTGTATTGGAAACGTAATGCTAATGTTGCGATTATACGATTGTGTCGGATATCCGTACCATCAAAATAATTTACATGCACCTAATAACACATAATATTTCCTGTTTAAATTGGCAGTCTCAATAAATTTATCACAGTCGTAGTAGATTACTGAAGTTCCTGGGCTCGATTCCCAGTGAAACATTGTTATTGTTGGTTTTAGGTGGCAGGGCGGACGTGGGGCGGGCGGCGCAGCGGAGCGGGCTTGGAGACTTAGGACAGAGCTCGCAGGACGGGCGGCGCGATACACGCGGGTAACACAGGTAGGCTTTTAAGAGTATTTTAATGATTAAAATATATTTCCCTAAGCGTTTTTTAATCTATTTATTCATTAATAGGGTTTTATCCTAAATAATGCCCTGAGACCTTAATTCACAGCAACAATCTGTACATAAAGGAATCCTTTACTATATTCGAACATACACTAGAAAACCACGTCAGATGGATAATCATAGATTACTAGCTGATCCGGCAAACGTCAGTTTGCCATGCACATTTATAATAAAAAATAAGGGTTGATCGTAGAGGGGTGAAAATTATGGGTTGTATGTATTTTTTAATGCTGTATCATTAAAAAAATATCTAAAAAAAAAAATATAGGGGTGGACTACCCTTAACATTGAGATGAAAAGGGAATGAAAGGGAATGAAAATCCGAAGGGTCCGATTCTCAGACATACCCATTATGCACACAAAATTTCATGAGAATCGGTCAAGCCGTTTCGGAGGAGTTTAACTACAAACACCGCGACACGAGAATTTTATGTATCAGATTTTGCAGTCGGTTAAAATATATTTTTTTAACTGCGATTTATATACCATTAATTATTATTATTTATATTACCAAAGTAGGTACTTGACTGTATAGAAAATTCTTACATTTTATTCAAGTAGTTGTTCCTTAACTGCCACAATCCTCTTTTGGGCAGTCCATCAGCAAATCCTAGTGTTTAAATTCATGTCAAAATTAACAGTATTTAATTATCCATATCCTTTATCGCGTATCTGAACGCTGTTAAATATTTAATAATGTAGTTTTATTACATTTTCAGTCAAAATCGACTTGTCTTCATCACAGCCACCTCGAAGTATCGGCACATTCATATCGAACTAACGAATATACAGACGTTAACGTAAAGGCCGAATGTCAAACTCTCCCAGCGACAACGAACCCCCAGTTTAAACCCACACACAACAAATCCGAGACAAAACTCAAAAGTTGTCCGTTGAAGAACAGGAATGGGCCCGACCCATTCGCTTTGGTTTCTGACCATTTAAAGACTTATTAGGTATAAGGATCATAGATTGTGATTAATATTAAGTCGATTTTGGATGAAGGTACGCTTTCGATAGCGATAGCGCGACCCTTTAAAATTCAGTTTTCGTACCAAATTTGCAATATTAAATACATTAATATGAACGTTTAAGTGGTATCAACGATTTAATATACAGTATATTTTTAAGTATTGGTGGATTTTTGCCTATGTTCATATATTTCGAAATACATGTATGAACTATGAAAGATTTGATTTTCAAAATTTAAATTCTAGCTTACGTACCTTGGTTTAACGAAATTTAGAAATGAAAAAAGGGAAGAAATAACAGATAACTACGTACATACGATTTAAGGTTGTATATAGCGACGCTGAAGAGTTGTTATATGAAAAGAACAATACAAACCAAAGTCAAGTTATTTTTTTATAGAACGGGGCAAACTGGTAAGAGCCTCATCTGATATAAAGATGAACATGAAAAGATGAAAGAGAACACATGCTAGTAGAAGGTTTACATGTGGGTTTAAAATTTGTACTTTCTTGAAGGTTCCTTAGTGGAATTTGTGTGGTAATACTTCAATGGGCAGCTGGTTCCACATAGTGGTGGTGCGTAGTATAAAAACCCATTAGTGAAATCGAGTTCGCTATCGCTATTGGGAGCTATAGAGTACTAGGGCTGTTTTCACTGCTTTGTGTTAAAAGTATTTTTTACTATATTTTTTTTCATTATAACCGGTCTTTAATCGATATTTTAAAGCGTTTCATTCATAAATATATAAGTTTGAAATATTACTTCAGTCAAATGTAAAATACGATTGGTAATGTAATGTTTATTTTATAAAAAATATTTTATTTAAGATTGTAAAATAAAGCTGAAATCGTGGAAATGATTTTTATTTTATTTATGCCTAATACGAGTATTAAGATATTAAGAAATTTTTGAGTACACAAAAAATGAGGGTAGCTATTGACAAACAATACAATTCGGTTTCGGTTTTTCTACCCGCATCTTTTAATTTAATAAACTGCAAAAACTCAACTAGACCGTTGTTTGTTATAAGTGCAATAAAATTTCACAAAAGGCAAGTACTCATAAAAAGAATCACCTTGTTTCGGTGTCCCGCTGATTATTGCTAATTTCAATTGCACAAAAAACTTCAATTTAATCTAAAATCGTGACGCAATTGTTTTTATGTAAAACATTGGCTGTTATATTATCGTTATACACGAGTTTTTGTACAAACAAAAAAATGCCATAGTCTCGTCTTCCCTCAGATTTATGTACCTTGATAATTAGTAGTGTACTAGTAGGTGACCAACCTTCTGTGCCTGACAGGCCTATAGATATGTAAATATATATTGGCAAGAACAAAGCAGATATAGAAAAATCCACAAACAATTGGTGCACAGACGGGGTTAAAACGCGCGACCATATTCTAGAGGGTCACTATTGTCTAGTGTCACCAACAACACTGCTGTGTCACTTTCTTACAATAATACTTTAAAACTGATAGGCTAATAAGGCTTCCAGAGATCCCTTGCTTGGGCGCGTCCATGTTAGGCTAACGGCGTGCAATATATTAATGAAGTGAAGTAATATATATTAGTAAGTGTAAGAAATTAATACAAAATTGAGGTCGCCGTAACAATTTAACTAAATGCCTTAAGAATATGAGAGTAGGACATTTTTATTACTTATTGATATATTTTACATTCACAAGACCTACATACAACCGACCAACAACCAAATTCACTACGACGGAAAGGTTTATATTTCTATAATATAATTAATATACGTTTGTAAGTTGTTATATATTAACACATATTTTTTTATATTTATTTATAAAAACACTCCTGCCCTAACAGGCGACCCTTAATTGACAAGAGTGAACAATAAGTGAATAAAATTTACAGACGAAACAAAAAAGCAAACATACAAAATTAATTAGGAAAAACAAAGTTACATAATAAAAATACAAAAAATTAACTATGTTTTCCCTTTTCGACATAAACCGCCTACCGCTAGTAAAATACGTAGATTTAATTAATACATTCTGATATTCACGATTAAATCACATTGCATTAATTAAAATTAAGAAATGTATTCATACCTATGTTTAGAATTATAACAATAGAAAGTGCAGTTATCACGACGTAGAAAGTCGCGCAAATTTCTCAAAATTTATAATACTGCAAAAGATTGTACTTGGATAAAGTTTAACTGGCAATTAGTCGACAGTGATAATGCTATTATGGAAGTACATTTCTGTGTAATGTCATAATCCCTCACAGTATGTAATTACGATTTATCCAAGAGTATCGCCTTTTCATTGGTAAATTCCGAGTACTTCTTATTTTAAGTTCATGGTAAAATGATAAGACATTTATTATAAATACGATAGCGTTACTCTTCCATGGTTGAACCGCTTATCTGGGATAAACGTAGATAGTAAAAGACGGTTTAAATTTTAATACTAACTCTAGCCGGGACTAATTAATATGTGACTATATTTTTATCAATGTGGGTTTACATCAACATACTTTTGGACTTTTGAGTACTTAAATCGAAATAATTATTATTTATTGGACAATCAAAAATATCGGCCAAGGCTTCAAGCCAAGTTGCGGAACTTTTTGCAATAAAAATATCATCGAAATTAAATAGAAATCAACCGAAATTGAAATGATGAAGGCGGTAGATTTAATTAAATATACACCGAGATTTGTAAATCTTACGCCTAACAATTCACGGTCATTGTTTATTAAATTCGGTTAACCGCGTAAACAAAACCAATTTGCATCGGCTTAGACGCTTTCTACACTTCATAGTTCCGATAGCGAGTTAAGCTGCGCGTGCGCCGATCGCTGCCAACCGTCAAGTGCACACAGTGTGTTTACCCTGCCCGAGCTATAAAGACGTGTCACCCGCTCTCGAGACATTCTAGTGAAAGGCCTACGAAAATGCGGGCAATCTGCATTTTCGCGATTTCGTTACTTTCCTTCGCCTTGGCAGATTCCGAACCTTGGGTAGAGGAAGAAGACGTAGAAGATTATAATGATTATCACATCGACAAGCGTGACGTCGAAGGTCCATATGAGGAACATATTAGGGTGAAGCGTGGACACGAGAGGTCTAAGCGAGCTCCGGTACCTATTCATCAATATGAAGTCTATGAACCGTTTGAAGAAGGGTCCTTTCCAGCTCCATCTTATCAGGAAATGTTAGCGGCTAGTGCTGAACACTACCACAGATATTTACCCGCAAATACTCGGATCGCTCGTCATTTAAATACGCAAATAAACCCGGGGCCTCTCACGTTTGGAGTAAGTCCAGATCCCATAGAAGTTGTTTCAGCGCCTGTAAACCTATCTCCAGTAGCTAACACCAGACCAATACAGTTCAGCAATGAACCGCCAGCAGGCGCAGTGTTCTATGAACAGCAGGAAGATTTGGCCCCAGCTGCTGGTCACGTTGTAATAAAGCACAATCCCCATGTCTCGACCCATAAACAAGGATTGGGTCAAGCGCAAGAAGCCAGTCACTTTGATGCACAAGGAGGCAAGGTACTACACATGTTTTTACTATTTATTTTATACATATTCATATAAATCTTAAAGGCCCTGACACACTAATAATTAATATTTAATACAGATATAAATAAGCTTCGAATAAATTTCTATAAATAGTGTTTTACAAATTAGATGTCATTAGCACTTGTTGTGTTTTTGTCTATTGCCTTTCATAAATACATGTCTAGGTTAAATTATAATTAACTTCTCAACTATCCCCGAGGCATATGAGTTACATGATAAGTGCCTATAATGATACAAAATATACACTTAATTGAGACTTATCTAATATTTTAATTCACTTCAATAATACTAGTTAGAATAAATGAGACTAAAATATGAATATTAATAAAAATAAACTTAATTGATAAAACTATTTTTCAAATAAATAACTCTTATTTTAGGTTGTCAAAGGTTCCAAAACAGACCACTACGTAGACAAAGGTGGCAAAGGTCACAAAACTGACGAGCACCAACGGAAAGAATATGAGGAAGCAGCTGGTAAAAAGAAAAAGCACCATGACCTTGCAGGACATAAGGGAAGTCATCAAGAGGAGGCTTTTGGACAGAGAGGGGCACACTTCGACGAGAAAAAGGGACACAAAAAAGGACACAAAACTAAGGGTATAACCTCTTAATTTTTTAATCATACCGTCATACCTATCTTTATAAACTTTTACCGCACATATGTATATAATAAGCAAAAATATGATCGTTTATGGAGAGTTAACGTTATTAAGATAAGTCTTTTGTTTTGTTTCAAACAAATGTAACAATTATTAACAAAATATAATCTTTATTGGTTGATATAATGTAATCATAGCATATAAACTTATTAACAATTGGTCTATTTAACCTAAATTTTGTTCATCAAAAATAGATTTCCACTCAAACTTTCATACCAAATCAATTAACCATAACTTACGTCACTAATTCTAGAAGACCGCGAAACAATAGTTTGTCCCAAGAGGTCAATCAGTTCGGAACAAAATAACATTATGTAACACCTGTTACACTTTCACTTTGACCGCAAATCTAACAAAAGCGCCGTGCTATAATGGCTGCAATACTCATGCACTAATATGCAATATTAATTGAATGTGAAATTCGTGATTGATTTCAAAACGTTATTGTAAGATCTGTTCTGAAATAAAACGTGATTACGCAGACACGTAAAATAGACGTGATCTAGAGCTAAAGTTCTCTAATGCCTGAATACAATTATATGTAGCATTCATTTATTATTAGAAGCAGATATAGCATCCAGATTGAAATATACAGGACGCACGCACATGAATTTGCATGGTTAGGGAAAGTGCGTACTTGCGTTCATAGCTAATAGCAAAAAAGCTGAAACTGAAAATATTCATGAACCAGCTTCTAGTTTTGATTGATTCTTATGTAAATAACCTTTAAGTATAAAGATGCGCTCCACTTCTACCATCAGTGGTCCGAAAAGTGTCTAACCCATTACGATTGTTATGGTAAACATTTTGGGACGCTTTCTAGCGATTTATTTATTCGTTTCAATCAGATTATTGTAGAGTATATTGACAGTACAGATATTAGTAGCAAGTGTGACGCCTTATTTTATATAACCAGTTATTCCAAACCAAATCACCGATCATATTCAAATAAATCTAATATATAAAATTCTCGTGTCGCGGTGTTTGTAGTTAAACTCCTCCGAAACGGCTTGACCGATTCTCATGCAATTTTGTGTGCATATTGGGTATAACTGAGAATCGGACAACATCTATTTTTCATCCCCCTACATGTTAAGGGTAGTCGTAGTAATATTTTATTTTTATTTTTAGATATTTTTTTGCTGTTTTTATTTTGTTATGATACAGCATTAAAAAATACATACAACCCCTAACTTTCACCTCTCTACGATCAACCTCTATTTTTTAATTATAAATGATATACATGGCAAAACGACGTATGCCCGGTCAGCTAGTAATATATAGGAAAGTGGCGACCCTCGACTTTTCAGTTATAGGCGCCTTAAAACTAAGATAAATTATTAATAAAAAAAAAATATAAAAAAAAATATGTTTATTATGGAACATAAGATACATGTATCACTTATTCCACGTCATTAAATTTCAATTTGTAGGCATCCCTACTCATCGGCAAAGAAGACAGAGGGTGTAGGCCGAGAGAAAAAGCCGGCGTAAAAAACTCTCGGTACTCTTTTAAAATAGCAAATCATCAAACAACACTTATTTTAAAACAAATATCGCAAATTAATTAGAGGTAGCCTGTCTAGCACTAGTCCCAGGCCCTTTTATCAACTAGATAATCGTTGACTTTATAGTAAGCCTTTTTACACAGCTTTTCTTTAATACATTTCTTAAATTTATTGAAAGGCAGAGATAAAAGAGCCTCTGGGATTTTATTAAAGAAGAGTATCCCTTTCCTCAAAAAGAATTACTAACTTTAGATAGTCTAGTACGGGGAAATTGCAGCCTTTAAATTATAGATTGCACGAATAGCCCTTTTCTGCAGGATGAAAATAGTTTCGACATCAGCAGCATGACCCCATAATAATAAGCCATAAATAAATAAATTGTAGTCATAGAAAAATAACAGCAAAGCCAGTAAGCCAGGTACCCTTCTCCTAGTAGCGCACCACTAAGCAAACACTGCTCAAAAGACCATAACAGATAAAAACGCAAAATATGTTTATAGGCTTCCACAACAAGTACCACAAAGACGAATTCCACAAGGAGCATAAATTCTACGACGACTTCCACAAGGGAGGTGAACATCATCGCTATGGCAAATTCAACGCTCGGCACGCCACCAACGAGAGTGGCAAGAAAAAAGCCCACCACGTGAATGCAGGCCACGATTTTGTCGAGAAAGGCAAGAATGGATACAGGTAGGCATTTTTTGTTTCTGCTACCTGGGAAAGGGTTTCTTTATTCACGCGTCATTCAATTATTAAATATAACGTATTTATCCCTGTAGCGAAAATGGGATACTTATTTTTAAAGGTGTTTTTGTAGAAATGTATCAAAAGGATTCCTTGGAATTGGAAGGTTTGAAAACATTGTTCATAATGCCTAGTTGTTACAGTTGTACCAAAAATTACCCTAACTTTTTATATAACTTACTAATAATACATCGGCTTATACTATATTAAATAATAGATAGAAGAGTTATAAGTTCTGATAAAAAAACTTGGTACTAGGATCTCAAATGCTATTTTTTTCCAACAGCAAAAAGGGACATGTAGACGCTGATCACCGGGGTCACAAGGGTAAATCTGGACATGAAGAACATCATGCACATCACTCGCAGCACGGCAAGAAGGGAGGCAAAGAAGGTGGCTCTCATTGGGCTTATGCTAAGAAAGACTAAGTTAATATAAAAACTAGTTTTAAGTGATTTGTACCCTGTACTAAAATGCGCTTGTTATTCGTTAAAATATTTCATCAAATAGCGAACCCAAATTCAGTTTTTGTGACTGTAATTGTAATGTGTTTTGTCGTGCGATGACGTTATTATACCTAATTGACGATATAGTAATATCCAATGAAATCAGTATTGCCTTTACGGAGTAGTCCTTCAGGACCTTGTTTCGATTGACTATTAAATAGAAATAATATGCGTTATGTTGTTGCGTTAATGCGTTATGTTTCTAATGATGTCATAATCGATTTTATATTTCCGATATTGATTTGCCAGTAGGTTGCCTGGTCTTATTTAAACCAATTTAGCAAAAATCATAATTAAAAATATAGAAATTAGAAATCGATAATTTCAATTCTGTAATCTTTACATTATATCATCTCTCCAGTATACTGACACTTTCGGACCATATAAAAATAAGTTAAAGCCGAAAAACGTGTTTAGTTTTAGAAGTTTATTTAAAAAGAATCATTCGTGAATACTTTATTATCTGGATGATCATAATTGTTGGAATTTAACTTTAATTTAAACTTAACTGTTGTAATGTTTCTATAATTTCAATTATATCCTATAAAATGATTATTTACTGTATTTGGTGACTAGCGGCAAACGGACATTGAATCCCTGTCATAAGAATATACAAGTCTATACAACCGAATCGCGATTTTAGTACTAAACAGTAGGCAAACTATATTTATGAAAAAAATATTGTTGTTTGGCAATATATACATACCATTGTCAAAGTCCACTTTCAAGGCCTTGTTTTTTTGGCGTTCACAGTTATCTTACGTTCTTTCAAACGAAGTAGGGGATAAAAATAACATAACGGAACCTGATCAAGTGGAGTCTTTAATAGTCCTACACACACTAAATAATCAGATGAATAGCAAAAGAAATAAGCAGGGACACCTAGCCTTGATCGTGGTACCGCGCATTCCACAATTTCTGCAATAAATTATTATTTGAAGCAAAACGTTGCGTTGGTTTAACAATGGTCAGCAGTATGTCCTTCTCAATTAAGCGACAAAATTTAAAATTTTCTTTCCCTACTGTACTTCTATTACATCTTCTATACTTCTATTAAATCTGAATACTCAGGGTATTCAGATTTAATAAAGAATGCTTGTAAAATACAGTCGTATTTTCTAACCTAATTAAGAAATTGTCTAAGTACTATTGTATTGGTCACACAACCTTAATGGCGGCTGTACTCGCGTCGCAAGTTAAAGGTGCTTTCAACGAGTATAGAGCCGCCAACATTTGTGAGTATTATTTGATAACGGGTTTTATATATTTGATATTGTCATAAAAACGTTCCTATTTATTTGTTTTTTATTTATTTTCTATCAGGGCATAACTAAGCACGCTTATTTTTTTTAATTAAATCGTTATCCGCGAATCTAGACACTAATGAATAGTCTTTATTCGTGGTTGACGTTGGTTTTCCCCTCCAATAGAACCTACGGGTAGGTATAATAGTTTATACCTACCCGCCTAATTCTATTTAGTATGCCTGTTATGTTTGGATGACATTAAATGTAATAAAAATCAAAATTTTTGATATTATTATTTTGTTTGTTTGTCACGAGGCTCACTGACCACACTGACCACTGGCCAGTCTTAATTCAAAATCCCCGAAAGAAATAAAAGGTGAATGTTTTCTGCGTGATTAGTAAAAAAGCATTAAGTTCCTATCTGATACCTTATCCGCTATTTTAAAATAAAAATTTGGGTGTTTCATATTTTTATTGCTTTTATTAATTTTATTTTTTTGTAGCATTTATGTTTACCATAATTGTCATGTTTATAGAAAGCTTGTAACATATACTGTAGATATATCATTATATATAATATGGTGAACTTCAATAAATAAGCAAAGATCCTGTAAGAGCAAGTACTACGTACATATAGTTATTATAATCATAGTCTCTACAGTATGTATAGCATTTTAGTGCCTTATGCGACTAACAAATTACTCAGTCTTTAAAGGTACCGGTACCACATATGTCAAATCAATCCATATTTTTACCCCCAGGAAGCTTCTAGGAGTTAATTTAAACATGTCATATAAATAAAAGAAAAATTGGCCTCAAAATTTTTATTTTCAACCATGGTACTAAAAAGGGGGTAAGCAGGGTACAGGCGCACCTTTCTTTGGGTCAAAATACATGGTGAACACAGATACTTTGTGGTGTGGTCGTCGCGGGAAGAAAACCCTTTGACCGGCGTCATCAATGAACTCGCTGTAGTCCATCGACCACTCGAGCTTCATACCACACTTCTCACACATTTTGGCTCTGCAAAATTTTATCACATACAGCTAACGATCATTACGCCAAAAATTCTATAGCTAATATGAAAAATACTATATTGTTGGAGATATTTTTTCTTATTAAAATTTATTTTTAATTGGATCAAAATACGTTGTGTGGTCGTAACATGAAAGCATGTTTCACGGCTTGATCATACATGTGTGCTGTGCCAACCTCATAATTTTAGAGTTTATATCGTATGCAAATAACTACAATCTTGCGAATGCTTATAAAGCCCGTCCAGGTGAGACGCGAAGACGTTAGTATACGCGTATACGTACGTATAATAGCTGACAGCGATAACGTGCACGAGCGGTAACCGCATCTCCTCAGCGTATTGCAAAACCCTTCGCAAGAGTAAAGACCCCACACCTTGTGCTGCCACCTCCGAAGATGTCGCTAGCACTTCCACCTGCAATATTCTCTTTTGACTTCTCATATAAACCTCAACTCAAGTTTAACCTGATTCTTACTGATTTTACATCCCATATTATTTATTTAACATTCGATCGAACGGTAAAGGAAAACATCGTAGGGAAACCGGCTTGCCTTACACCCAATAAGTCGATGGCGTGTGTCACGCACAGGAGGCCGATCACCTACCAATCTATTAAATTGACAAATTACCATGGAACAGATACAGAAATCTGAGGCCATTTTTTATTTAATTATTTATTAAGCTTTCAGAATGTCTATTGGCCAAAAGTTTAGTTAAAAAATAATTTAGGTCAAAGGGTATAATCAATTTATATATAGTAAGAGAAAATAATCATTATAAAAAGCTGCTCAAGAAGAGAATAATGTTTTTTAATAGCCTGTTCCTTATATCGCTTTAAAAAATACTAGTGTAAATAGCATCATGTCTTTATTATTATTAATAAAATCAGTTATATTTATGATTCAAATTGGAGCAAAAAACAGCTTTCTTTCTTTACTTCAAAAACTCTAAGGAGTTAACAATTCATGTTCTTACGTCATACAAGTACGGCACATCGTACTTCTTGAATAGATTGGGACTACGCAGACAGTGTGCTATGAAGTACATCCGGTTCCTTTCCGGACGGGCACTCGTACAGTGCGCCCATTCTTCCAACTCATCAACAGCCCACGGGTATACCCTGTTGGCAACACAGACGCCAACCACCTTTCGTTCATTAGTACGTGGTATGTACTCGTATGCCATAAAACGATCACCTGTGTAATGATTTTAAATATAAAAAGATACTACTAGCTGACCCGACAAACGTTGTTTTCCTATATTATTTCTAAGAAACATTGTTTTAGTTCAATAAAAATAACTAACTGCTATAATAAAAAATAAGGGTTGACCGTAGTAGGTGAAAATTAAGGGTGGATAATTGTATGTTGTATCATAAAAAAAGAAAAACAAAAAAAATTGTCTAAAAATAAAAATATTTTTTTTTTGGGGTGGACACCCCTTATAACTTAAGAGGTTGAAAGATAGATTAGCCGATTCTCAGACTTACTGAATATACATAAAAAATTTCATAAGATTCGGTCGAGCCGTTTCGGAGGAGTATGGGAACGAACATTGTGACACGAGCATTTTATATATTAGATAAGTGTTATCGGAAGAAATTAAAGAGTAAACACGAAAACAATCGTAAGAGAGATTATTAGTGTTTCAATAAAATACACATTTTTATGATTGATGGTCGCATAAAGAACTTACTTCCAAAATTATGACCCGTACTAGAAGTACTGTACCAGTTACATAAATCGGATGGATAAACCCAAATTATCAACTTACCAGAGAGAGAATATTTATCAGTCAGGACATCAAGATAGCTACAGTTGTGACACATCCAGAGTCCCACGACGCTTGGCTCGCGTGGCCAATAGTGGCTATAAAGGAACGAACGTATCAATTTTCCATGTTTGTTGGTTCCCTGTTCGATTGATACATTGCGGATGTCAAAGCACTAAAACAAACACTAAGTTGTAGTGATAGGATACCTGACTTTCCTACTGTTGAATTTCATCAGGTTTTAGGTGGTCAGCACACTATGTCACGGCGCTTAAGTTCAAACTCTCAACCAATAAGATTACCTTAACGCCATTGTTTAACTTGAAGGTAAACTGAATACCCTAAATAAGAGTATATTGCAACAACAAATGCATCAGGAAGGAATTATTAGTTGCTGTATTCTTTGTATTCAATGGTTGACTGATGATGCCTCAGTATCAAATTTAAAAGAAAACTCTTGCCGACTCACTCTCATTAGACCATGGCATTCAACGCAACACTTCACAATTTTAGTAAAAAAAATCACTGAGTATACAGAGTTGTTCGGGACCTGCAGATGGTTTAACATCAGACGTCGAGACAGAATACGTAATTCTAACGTCGACGTCCGTCGTTCCACAACAGAGAGTTTTTTAAGGCAGTCTCTGCCGCGCACCACCACTATGTGGAACCAGCTGCCCACTTTCGAACGAATTCGACTTAAGGTCCTTTAAGAAAAGAGCAAAAAAAGAGTTCTTAAAAGGCCGGCAACGCACTTGCGAGCCTTCTGGCAATGTGAGTGTCCATGGCATTCGGTATCACTTTACATAAGGCTAAACTCCTGCCCGTTTGCCTCATTATTAAAAAAACAGCTTACCGCGGAGCACCAAGCAAAAAGACACTTCACTAGGTTTTAAATAAATAATTAAATTATACGGGATACGATGGCTGCCGCAATCTAATAGACATCGCTGTCTTTATTGAAATTTCGTGCAACGATGTTCCATGTTTACGACTACGCTGGATATTGGAAGATCTACATCGAATTTGGGTATGTCGTTATTTTGTCAACCATTGAAATCGATTTTATATTTACATTTTTGTTATATGTAGTAAAAGATAATAATACTGAACTGGTCTCTTCTCTGGTGTGTACAGACAGACATCGCAAGGCGAGGGTTTCCTGAACCTCTTGAACTCCAAATTGCACACTTGGCGTGGGATCATTCGCAGAATGTTATTGTTAAGTAACCTAAAGCAATTCATTTTGACTATTTCATTTCCGTATTAACATTTTTTGTAATTTTTTTATGGAAATTGGAATTAACGAGGCATTTTTTATTTTCTGCTAGAATCTTATCACGAATGACATATTGGAATTACATTTTGTAAAAACGTAGTTTATGGTTTTGATAGAAATACAACGAAAAGGTTTTTACATAGACATTTTAAATTGTAAGAAGTTTTTTTAATAATATAATTTATTAATAAACACTTTAACGTCCAAAATATTAAATAAAATACAACGACAACTTATGCTACATTAAGAAGCCATCTCTTCAAGGCGACCTAACTAAGTAACTTTTTCAGAAACGTAACGAAATGGAAAACAGTCAAATTTTGGTTCAGTCGCGAGGTACGAATAATTATACAAATTAAATTAACGAAATCTGGATGCCGCTGAGGTCACGAGGAAACCTAAACTGGCTAGTTTATTCGACGTCATGGTAGAGTAAGCGATGCATCTCAGTTGTAGGTTGTCAATAGGCTCGCAAAGAGAGCTCATGGTAGGGCAGGAAAAAGGCCCCTGAACGAAGAAATCAATAATACTATTTATCAATAAATTTATTTATAGTAGAACCTGTATACTACATTGACTTAGAATCACAAAAAAGTAAAACCGCACAGCTGTCACAGCAACCGTCAATATGCCACCATAGTATATTTTTATTTTTGAATAATATTAAATTTTTTGTAAAAATAAAAGCAACTAGCAATATCCAAAATGATACGCCGGTGAAAACGAGCCGTTTTAAACTGTAAACCTCTATTTTCTGAGACATGTCAATATACAAACTGATGAAGTGGCTGTCTCCAAGGGTTATGGTTAGAACGGCAGCTTACAGACCTTCGGTAGTTGCTTCACGAAGTTACGCTGACAACCCTGAAATTCCATCTTCTACTAAACGTGCTGTAAGCTTCGCTTAAGATTTTAACTTTTATGGTTATAGTGTTAGATAGTTTTAGTCAGTCACCGATAGGTTGCCGGAACATTTTCTAAGGAAGCTAGACCCTTTACTACATATGGGCTGGTGGTTGTTTGTCTTTTGTTACTGGACTTGCCGGTTTCCTTACAACTTGCTCGTACGGCGAAGGAAATCGTTTCACGAAAAATGTCTTTACTGCGCAAAAGCATCTTCTTTGTGAGGGTAGTAACAAATTTTAAAATATACAATTTTTAGAAATTCATTTAGGTTGAGAGATGTTCACATAATATGAAAATACTGGCTATGAGACAAAATTTCCTAGAAAAACGTTTGTAATGTGGCTGACGTGGCGCTAACCACTTTAGTTCTGAATAGGTGGGGACTTTAAAAGAGGAACGTGTACGTGTGCGTCGCGCCCGACCAGCTGATACTCCGAGGGTGCTGCGATTTGTGAAGGAACACGCAGCTACCGCCTGGCCAGGTGTTGCAACTCATCATTCACAGAATGTCGTTCTTGATGACCTGGTCGCAAGAACTCTGGCTCAGGGTAAGCAATGGGGTACACCCGCCCACACGGTTTATTATTACAATCAATATTATTAAGATTTAAGGGTATAATCTGAAATTCTAGGTATCTTTAGGAGGATGATGTTTACAAGGTATTTAACGCCCAATAAAAGTTGTAAAACTTTACCACGAAATATGAATAGCTTTCGTTAACGTAAACCTTTTATTTACGTGATACCTATTTTAACCCCACTTGTTTCCAATTACCGACAACATCATTCAGGTCACTCAATGGTAGCAGAGCAGCAAGAGTCAAAGCGGTGGGGTCAGGTGAGGGGTGTAGCGTTGAGCGCAGCCGTAAGCCCCTGGGACGCAAATCTTCTTAAGGCGTGGGCCCGCTGTGTACGTTGCACCCGCTCGCGCCGCTTAGTACTCTTCGCTGCGCATTGCCTTAGCGCACCCGCCCTGCACAACAAATATCAAGTGCATACAGTTATGCAGGTCTGTACACCCTCTCTGTCTAGTCAATTAGGTAGCATAACTCACACAATGATAGTGTAAATAGCATCTTTATTATTAAGTTCCGTAACAAACGCATATATTTCTGCATCAATGAAATAGACGTACCTATTATTCTTCAAGTTTCATAACAAGCATGTTAAGTTTAACGATTCGGAATTCAACATTTTGTAACTTTATTTCTATAGGAATCGAATCAATAAACTAAATTAATCAATTACATATAAATATGGTATTAACCTATAACAACATTTTTCATAAGGAAAAATAACAACAAAAGAATTGATTGATTAATTATGGGTACATAGTTTATGGGCCTTTTAACCTCCCAGGTTGTAGTAATAGTACCCCCGGACTCACCGAAAGCTTCAGAAATAGCTCGACTGCTGGCAAAAAACGCCCTTCAGCGGGGACGCGACACAGGGTTTCCCGTGATGCGATTCGATGTGACCACAGAATCAATGTAAATACACTGTCGTTTACATAGTTTGGTTAAATACAATTATTATAATTTTTTCATATTACATTTCCTCTAAGAAACTACCGTATATAAAAAACTACAAAAAGCCCATTTGAGCAAAAAGTATACGGTGTTTTTGCTTACAATCCATTACAAACTAGCATTATGTACGTCTAAAGGTGGTTTTTCACATTAAATGAAACCCATGCGATTAAATACATACGTGCTATTGGAATAAATACTATTTTTTGTCAGAGAGAAAAGCCTTCAGGATCTCAAACTTCAAAAAGAATGGGAGTTTGCCTATGAAGTACACCCAAATGCTATCAAGGAGTTTATTCCAAGAGAAACTCTGAATGAAGGGAAGACGGGACAGGCCAGCTCCAACGACGTGCGACGTAACCAAATCACTGTCTACACCGCATTTCCATTACGAAAGTCATAATATATTGTCGATTGCTGGTTGACGGCTGTATTAAAAATTTTGTTTTTTTTTTATTTTAATATTTTTCAGATACTTGTTTCTAAATTACAAGTTTTTAAAGCGAACGATTTTTGACAATGTATTGTTTTTATTAAAGTTCACGTGGCATTTTGAGAACTACACGAAAGCACGAATACTATATATATATATATATATATATATAGTATTCGTGCTTGGTTAGGATTTTTTATTTAAATCAAGTGTATCCCAACGTTTCAAGTTTCATCAAAATCGGTTTAGTAGATTGCCAGGCACTTCTAGAGGCGTGACCATACATAATATAATGTTGACAGATATTTAAAATTGGTTATTAAAACACCTTTTTTACGAAGCAAATCTAAAGGTTAACGTAAAGTTAAGGCAACCATAGAAAACCTTTCTGTTGCCTTAAATTTTAGTACAAATTATTTGTATGTGATTTTTTTACAAAAACCAACAAAACTTGATTTGAGATAAGTTTTTACTTATCATTGCATACTTTAGAGAGTTGTCTGCTTACTTGCAAGAATTATAAGTCAACGTTGGTTGGGAAACACAATTTATTTGCAATCATTTTGTTATATAAAACTGAGTTAAATTAATGTATAGGCTAGTTGGAAGTTTGCGACGGAACAATTTTTTTGTAAGTAAAATTATTCTTATATTATTTAGTACGTTACATTTGTAAATAACGAAAAAGTCGTTTGGTAATTGAATAAACGACATATTTCTTAACGATATAATCTGAAGAAAATTTTAATGATTTTAAAAAGACACTTGATTACAATAATTATTTCACATTTATTTTAAGAATGCCTTTTCTATATTTGAAAACAATGTCAAAAAAGGTCTTTGACTTATTTCAACAACTTTTTACCTACTATCTGTAACCGCATCAGTGACCACGATATTCTAATCGTAAATACTCTTTTTTCAGAACCATGGCTTTTAAACTGTTAGTAATAGGTTTGATACAGATGGCAGTGGCGTCTCAGGCTGCAACTCTACAGGACCTTATGGTGGCAGACGATACGATGTCTCTAGGCTCATATATCAGGCCTGCTAGGTCCCCTGCGGTAAGACGTGTCTACAACCGAAAGAAAATCCTATGTAGATACTTTAATTGCAAAGAATAATTGTCTTCTCAGAGTATCATTTATACAATCTAGCATAAAGTTATCAAATAGTAGTAAACAATCCAGTTCTAATTAAAGTTAATTTAAAACAACAAAATTTGAGAGGCAATCAAACTGAGGAATATTTTTTATTAGAAAGTAAACTAGCAAACGTTGATTGTCAAGTTGTAGTACAAAAAAGTGAAGTTGCTTTTAGATACGTAAAAAACCTTCCAAGGCACGCCAAAAACATTGGTTTAGTTATATTTGGGACTTTCTAGGTATAGCAACTATTTAGGGCGCTTCATTTCTTAATTAAGTTTTATGTTCAACTTTGTTTTAAAATAAACATTACTATTATCAGCCGGAAGATTATCATAAATCTTACGAGAACGAAGGAGATGGTGAAATCGGGTACTCGCGAAAGAAAACTGGAGGTGGCAAAAAGGGTTACCAGCATTTTGACTCTTATCACAAGAAGGCTGGAGACAATTTCGAGTTTCAGAAACAGGATTCCTTTGGACATGACGACGACGGTCATGCAGGAGCTCACAGCCACCAAAACGAGAAGAAAGGTAGTTTAAAAATATTACCATATATTTATAAATTTTTAACATTTTCTGAACCCTACTTGGTTTTTAATGGTCATTCATTTTTAAGTTGAAGCTTATCGTGAACCAGAAAGTGACGAAGAAGAACGTGAACCAGAACGTGACGAAGAAGAACGTGAACACCAGGAAAACCCAAAGAAAAAAGATCACGAGAAGTTAAGGTAGATATTTCATAACTATATATAGTAGGTAAATTCTGCAGAAATTTTGTCAATAAATAATTATTGTAATGTGTCACTTTAAAAGAAAAATTCTTTGATAGGTTTTGCATATCGCTTTTAGTTTAGCTAAACTGGGCTAAAAAACTGAAGCAAGGATAACTTTTGATTACAATTACAGTTTTCGATAAACATATTTTAAGGTGTTAAAGATGTTTTTAAAATTAATACTAACATCCTAATTTTGAATACACATTTAAAATCAATAAAACCATAACAAAACAAGTTCACAGTACCAATATTGATACATATTATGTGTTTAATATGCTTTATTATGTTTTACCTATATTATTTTTTCTCGACATTATCATATTGGCATAATCTGTAAGGATAATGTACGTAAATAAATAAGTTTAAAGAACACAATAATTACTTTTTAAACATTGAAAACAATTAGGTAATTTTATATATTTTGTAGTGCAGTATACTTCCATAGTTCAAATATTTCAGCGTGTAAATGAAGGGGCTCTTATACCAGCTGCTTTCCGTTTCAGAGAAGGTCCTAGTAATGAAGAAGTGGATGTTGCCGGATATGATAAGGCAGATTACAGTTTACCAGAAAAGTATACTTATGGTACTGGAGAGGAATATAACTTTAAGTAACTGTATTTTATTGCATATATGTATGTTCCAAAGTAACATGAAAGTTGAAATGGGAAATGTAATGAACCCACCATTATTTTTACAAGAGACATGTATTTTATAAATTAAATTTAATAAAATATTAATAAGATATTAACTTGTTTCTACATGATTTGACCCACAAGATTACTTTTTTTTATTTATTTTTTTTGTATTATGGCTCTGGCACGATTTGTGCATTAGCCAGCGTCAAGTATAGGATTTTTTTTATAATTCGTTCTTTTTGCCTTAGAAATTCGACCGTGTCCTCCATGTACGGTTTAGGCACTCGCCCGGTACCGCACGACCCCCCAAAGGCCGAGAACAAATTTAAATTAAATTAAAACTTGCCCTCGAACCGGGAATCGAACCCGGTACCCCTCACCTAGCTGCCACTTAATAAGACCGCTAGGCTATGAGGCCCCTAACAAGATTACTTATTAAAATAATTTAATATTTAACCACAGATGCAACAGTATAATCTTCAGAAATAGGTTTTTGACTTGTGTCTCCATAGACAGGTTTATAGTAATTGACAGACACAGAGCTTTGGTGTTACTAAATAACCATAAAAACACAAAAAATTCAAATATTTATTTATTTCTACATGATCATCATCCATTTACAGACCATGTTTTGTTTTGACTTCCCCTTTTACACACTATGATGTATCAAGTATTTAAAAATTATCATGTAAATATGATGTGTATGTACATTTGCTTCAACATCACATATGAATGAAATGTCTTTCCATGCTGTCCTTCTCGATCTTTATATATTTAAAAAAATGTTTTTCAACCTTATGAGGTGAATTATAAAATATTGTATTCATCTGGAAGAAAAACCATGAACTATTTCTTCATATCATATCATTTCTTGACATCAATACAACAGTACCGCAGTCTTCGACCTTCGTGGTTAAACTGCTGCCTATCAAAATGTTTTTCACAAACGTTGAGAGACAACGAGAAGGGATTTTGTAGATGCAAGGAACAGCTTCCACAAATTACAACTAAACAGTCGATGAGTGTCACAAACTAGAAATGTACAGAAGGGGCGGAAACTGATAACATGTAATTTTAAAATAAACAGGTATTTTATCACTTAATCTACAAATATTCCAAAATAATAATGATTATTGATTATATTATAACCTTTAAACAAAACAATACCAAATAATTTGCTATTACAAATAATCTGCAATATACAAATTATAATACAGATTACAGGACGAGGACAGAGGTCAGAGTGAGTCAGTGACTCAGTGAGACAGTAGTCAGAGTGAGTCAGTGACTCAGTCATCAGTGAGACAGTAGTCAGTTAGTCACTGCAGGAAGTAGGACTAGAGTCAGAGCTGTCACAGGTAATCTTGCCAGTATTACAAAGTCGAATCTTTTAATGCACACCATAAATAAAAGGATTCAACAATTTTTATTACAGTTACGTACTAAGAAAATAAAACTTTTGCCTAATTAATTTACGATACTACCTAGAGATTTAATAAATATTAGGTTAAAACTTAGTTTTAGCCAATATCCCGTAAGCATGGGAGAATCGTTTAGAAAAAGGGCCAATTTTTTACTGCTGTTTGGGATAATTTAGGATTGACTGATATCAGATTACTACATATCGTCGCTTAGCTAACAATACCGCACAAGTCATATTTTAGCCAAATGACGTTTTTTACACCATTCGATAGATTACTTTCCCGCGCGTCTAATGAGCTCTCGCTAGAGGTAATATCGTCCAATAAGAGCGCGTTATTCAAAAACTAGTAACACAACACAACTCATTGGCTGCGCTAACACCGCGCAAGTCATCATAACGCCATAGTAATTTGGCCGTGCCACGTCGCACCTTATAAGATCGTTTGTCGTTTTTAAAAAAGCGGATTTTTTGTAACGGACTGGCTCCACTGATGTAGTTTAAAGGTAAGGTAACTTAAATAAAACATAGTATTCATATTTTATCTATTAAAATACGTCATACGATTGCTTTTAAAAACATGAATACTTAAGCGGTGTTGGAATGAACAGTTTCGTTGAGTTAGGCGGTTTTCTCTTTACTTGGTTTCGATGTCTGAATGACTTACAATGTACTTCTGTGTTGAGTTTCTGACTGCTGCGGTATTCATCGATATAATAAGCGATTTTTAGGCAGTTTTTTTCATGATTACTATATCGTAATTATATTATATTTTACTTCAGAACACGAAAATGGACAAAATGGTCGATAATGATACCACGCCTGATGACTTTTCAAGAGTTGACGCTAAATGTAAAGTTATTACTTTACGTGACTTACAAAAGAGACATAGAGAAAAAATGTTATTAAATACATTGGGTATTAAATAATGGTTTGTCCGATACTGGTTGATAACGACAGATTGTGCTATGCCACCGCCTTCTGAGATTTCTCGGAATGTAGATTGCTCCAAAAAGAACTCTGATGGTCACGAGCGTCTACAGCAATTATAGATAGCCTGCCGAAGATGCCATCGTCTACTGTCGAGCAAACTCATCCAGACGATACCTAGAACCAGTATTTCATACCATGGCACAATTAAACAAAGAATACGTCAGTAAATGCGAATTAGATTCCTTAAAATGTCTTAGTCGTAGGGTTTTTGACAATGTATTCTTAAAACAGAATCTTAGTCTGTTTCATCCCAAAAAAGATCAATGCGATGTATGCTGTGGTCATAAAGTTGGAAATATAAACGATACTGAAATTGCAATACATCGCGATAGGAAAGACAAAGCTAGAAAAGAAAAAGACACTGACAAAAAATTGGCAATAGAAGGAAAAACGTGTCATGTATTTACGCAAGATGTTCAATCAGTAAAATTTGCTCCCTACCTTCAGGCTAGTGCCATATACTACAAGATATTTTATCTGTTCACAATTTTACCATGTACAATTTGTCAACACATGAAGCTTGCTGCTACTGGTTCGATGAATCAAATGGCTCCCTTGAAGCTTCTGTTTTCGCATCGTGCATTGTGAATCAACTACAGATAATTTTAAATAGAAAATTACTACCGGTAATATTGTATTCTGATGGCTGCTGTGCACAAAATCGAAATTCCATCTTAAGTAATGCTCTTCTGCGTTTATCCATCGATAAAAAAGTTAAAATAACTCAAAACATCTTAGAAAAAGGTCACACGCAGATGGAATGCGACTCTGTGCACAGTGCCATCGAATGTAGATTAAAGGGAAAAGAAATTTACCTTCCTTCCCAGTATGCGAATATAACAAAGACAGCTAGAGATAACTCAATGCCATATGAGTCTCGATTATTAGAATTCTCTTTTTTTACCAATTTCAGTAAGGATTTAATTTACAAAACCATTCGTCCGGGCAGAAAATTCGGAGATCCCACTATTACCGATTTAAGGGTATTAAAATATAAACCAGATGGAACTATTTGGTATAACTTTGACGAACCTTTGCAGCCGTTGCCTCAGCGTCCAATGAAAATTACCAATGTAAAACCTTTAGAAGAGCTGCCGAAATTATTTTCTGAAAGACTGCCAATTTCCCAAAGAAAATATAAGGATCTCCAAGATTTAAAGGCAGTGATACCTTCGAACTGCCACGCATATTATCATGAGTTACCTTATAAAAATTAAATATTTTTCATCCATAAACATTTTGTATTATTTTTAGAAGTAGGTTAAGTATTCGAAGTGTTCTTATTGTCTTATATTGTTTGTGTTAAATGTACCATTTTATTAAAGTTTTTGAGAGTTTAGAATTATTAGAAGTTATGGAAAAAATTACCTAAATTACAAAGCAAACCACCTCTGGTTTCCATTGTAACTTAGATAATTTTATTGATCTCAGTAGGTAAGTAGTTGATCTCGTCAAACAGTACAGTCGTAGTCAGTGAGTTCCTATAATATATTATAATATTAGCGAACCCGGCAAGGGTTGTCCTGTTGGAATAAGAAAATAAAACGGCAAAGAAATGTGTTTTTTTTTTTGATAAAAAGCTAATTTAGCAATCTTTTTTATTTTATTGAAGTTAATAATTAGTTTTATAAAACTGTTTTTGAAAAATGTTTTTATTTCGATAGTTTTTCATAGAAAATTTTCTATGAAAGACTTATAGAGCTTAAATATAAAAGGTAAAAACACCGCGTAAGTCTTTATTTTGTTAGAGTAAAACTGCTCAAGTCTTGAAAATGACCTAATAAGACGATATTTCTTTTATTTGTTTTTATAGTTATCATGCTTAACTAAATACAATATATTAAATTTTTTATCATGCATGTATTGTACAAAATGTTAAAGTAATACAGTTTTTTGTCTCTCCTGAAAACTAAGCAAATCTGACTTATGCGGTATTGTTAGCTAAGCGACGATATATTATTTAGCAGAATCACACACAGGGCTGCCAGTTCGTATAATTGGATACAAATTGTGTATAATCCGAGATAAATCATAATGAAGAAAATATAGGTCTACCAGAATCTGATGGCAAAAAAAAAGTTCGGGAGGAAATCAATTTCAATGGTGGAAGAGAATCATTAAGGTAACATAAATGAATTCATTTTCTTTCAGTTTGAATATAATCTAAAAACATAGTACTTAATCTAAAAATAACAATCTTATTTTGTCTTCAGACCTTTCTTGAAAGACATCGGATTCGAATTTGTGAAGTGCCAATCAAAAAGGACTATTTTAATGGAGCGACTTGACATAAAGATACTCAAGTATTTGGAGCGTATGCGAAAGAATCGAGAAGCCGATGATAAGCTATATGTGTTTTTTTAGATGAAACCTACATACACAGTTCAGTAAAAAAATGCTGGCAAAATAAAGAAATAAAGATAGGTTGATCCCCAACCTTAAAAAACCTTCTCTCATTGTCATGGACAACGCCAAGTACCATTCTGTACAATTAAACAAACCGTAATTGCGTCTTCCTCTTCCGATGAAGACTTTTTCATGGATGTGCAGTATTTGGAACCATTTTCAAGTTCTCAATTAATAAACTCATGAACAGAATCATTGGAGTTTTCATCTAAATTTCGAACCCCATATTCACCACAGTAAGATTTAAAAAAAAATATCCTTGATCATTGGACAACTTTAAATTTGCATGTATCACACACAGAATCAGCCGCTATAAGGAAAATAAAGTATCAAAACGTTTTACTCCAATTTCCCCAGTATTGCTAGCGTCAATTTCTTTTTTCCCTTTTTGCCATCAGATCCTGGTAGACCTATAATACTAATGAATGTTTAGTTAAATATACTTATAAAAAATATCAAATTGACAATGATATAAGATTTTGTATATTAGTGTGAGCGGTAGAATTTAGTTTGACGAGACTGGCAGCCCTCATCCGAGTGTCTTTGACGTTTGCCAATGGACTTTGTATCCGGCTAATAAATAAATTAAAAAAAAAAAAAAATGTCTTTGACGTTTGAGTTTGACGTGACGTTTACAACAGATGAGTTATGACATTTACATTTTTCTGTAGCGAATCGCTATTAGTTGAGACTTGAGTCGGAGATGAACATTTATTTATTGTAAAGTTGTCGGCAAAAACGTTATCAGACAATAACAATTCTTTATACTGCATGTTGTGATGTGAAAATTAAATAAATAGCTGAGTATTCATTATGGGTCTTACTGCCATCGAAATAATAGCAACGATATCTTTAAATATCTTACAATGCGCGCGTACGGGTAAGTAGACGATTATTTAATTTAGTCAATTTATCCCATTGGTATTTCTAGAGCTTTATTCTTTTAACAGAGCACATCCTGCCCTGCAATACGACCCTCATGGGACAATGTACGGGCAACAACGAAATATGTAAAGAAAACAAGTGTGAATGTGATGATGACTTTGCAAGATATTACGACGAATGTGTACCTCAAGAAGCTGCTACTACTGCTAGGTACGATGTTACAGCAGCAATTATATCTATTTTTACAATATCCATTGTGATTGTAGGATTAGTGGTTGTAATAAGAAAATATAATTTAATTGAGTATATAAGGCAGAAGATAGAGCTTCGAAGAAGTCACAATATCATGTATGAAGATGTAATGATTGGACATGATGATCCTCCGTTAAGTCCATAATTAAGAATAGATATAAGAATTTTATTTTGAATTTTAGTAAATGTTTTGAATTTATTTTTAACTTCATGAATCTGGCTTTTAATGTTTATTTTAATATATCTCTAATTAAAGATGCCTCCTATACTTCAATGAACGCACAAATGCTGCAGTTTGATCTTGTTGTATTTTAAGACTAAGATTTTGATGTGAACTAATTCTCACAATTGTCATCAATATTTTTTATTCATTGACTTAATGTCAATAAGCTAATATGACAGTTAGTCCATAGTTAAATTTTACTGGTTTTATAAGCCTAGTATCTTTTTTTAATTAGATTTAAAAGCTGTTTACAATACCATAATAATTCACATATTTATAAAAGTTGAACTATTTATGGATAAAGAAAAATATTATTAATCATTTTGTTTATACCTTAATATTTAATAAAATATAACAAAAAGTAAATAATGATAATTCTTGTATGTCACTTTCAATGTATATCTTGCATAACATGGCTTTGTTAGGGAAAATGGTAAAAGAATTTCATTTAGACTTCTTATTTCATAAGAAATTTATATTCTTGAAATTATATGACACAGAATATTATGTTTTTTAAATTAATTTGTATTAGCATGAAGAGGAAAATGTGGGGTTTTCCTGTTACAAAACTATAAGGTAACCAAAAGATATTGCTCAATTTCTTTAAATTATAACAAGCTTATGCCAATTAGTCTTTACTTTAAAATTTAATTTTATATGCTAAGCTTGTGGGTTTCAGACCTAAATATCACAAAATATATTACATTTTAACATTCCAAATAAATAATTTTGTGAAGGTATAAGGTAATTTATAATACATATTGTCATGATGTAAAAGTGATATATATTTTTAAATAAATATGCTGTGATACTCAGTTTTTGTTTTATTTTAAAATTATCTACCTATACATACATTCTTCAGATATCATGATTATTATTATATATATTACTTGTCATGTAGTAAGTGTCCTTATGAGTGGAGGCATGTGAAAAGCCATTATGAATTTCACCAAGTGGCTTAACAGTAAAATCACTGTTGTAAACAGTCTGGGACTCTCATATAGTACTGAAAGTTTAAATATGTTAATTATAGTGTTTATTTTATTTTGAAGTAAAATTGATTAACCAATTTTTAAAGACCTTAAGAACTAGTGACAATTAGACATTTCAAACATTGGCTGTGATTATTGTTTTAAGTAATTTGATTCCTTCAATCCAATTTGGCACCTTTTGTAATCCCAGGGTTAAGTGGACATCACATTTGTTGACATATTATCCAATTAGAAGAATTAAAAAATATAAATTGTTGTGTATTTCTAAGGAATTCAATGTTATTTTTCATTGATTAAAGATACAATAATAGATGTAATAATTGAAAGCAAAAATTTAAAGTTTTCATATCAAAATAACTCTGCACAGAAAGATGGTGACTTACCAGTAAAAACATTGTAGAAAACAGTAAACATATAGAGAAATACTAGTAAATAGTGGAGTAGTCTTGTCTCAGGGGATGTCTCATGTGTACCCCACACTAGAGTAGGTAGAGTGAACAACAGGCTTGTGTTAGCCAATGAATAAGATTTCAACAGTTTAACAATACCCACTGAAAAAATAAGTTAAATTTTTTGCTGCAGCTTGCAGTAGCTTAAACTGCAATTTTGCTATTTCTTTTTAACTTATTATTTTAAATTACAGCCAAATAGAAAATAATAACACTTTGATATAGGTACATTGACCAAAATTTCAAATAATGAACTTACATTATCAACACATATTTTAGCTTAAGCAATTAGCAAAGAATAGAGAATTCATTGTGAACACTAATAATTAGCAGTGCCAGAATATTTTTAATTAAAGTCCACAAGGCAATAATTATTGACATAAGTGTATCAAAAATTATTTGAAGAATATAACATCTAATAATACCTTTTGTATTCCGAGTGTAAGTGCTGAATAGTCGCATTGTGCTATGAACAATTAATATAAACACAATTATTCCTGAAATTACAATGAATTATTATTTAGTAAACATAATTCAAAGACATATTAGTAAGTAGGATTTCTAGCAAACTTAAGAAAAAAATAGATTTAATTTGTAAAACTTACATATCCCTTACCCATCAATGTTGATATAAACTGTATATAAAAATCTTTTTCCCATATAAATAAGTCCACACCATCTTTTTCTTCTCGAGCCCAATCCATACAGTCCATGTTGTATGATTCTAAATTATTTAAAAGCAGCTGTTGAGGCAATTTACTGGAAAATACAATTTACTTATTTAAGCATCAAACAATAATAATAGAAGGCAAAGGTGTTGTTTAGACTTAATATTTTTAGTTTGGGGAACTTACTCTATTCAGATTAAATTAGAATATAGTATGCTTGTATACTGGTTTTCTTTGGTTGACCAGAAAATTCATTATAATATATTTATCTGGCCAAAGAAGTTTCTGAGCAAGCAAAAATTATTATTATTATTATTATTATTACAATCTCTTCTAATTTTAAATTAGACTTTCTTATGAAAGTTGAAAAGGTTGTTGCAGTACTATTGAATTCAAAACTTACATAAATGTTGTGTTAGTGGTACTGTTATTTTGTATATTACAGAGAGAGTTAACAATTATGTTAAATAGGCTATCATTTCTCCATATTCCATATGTCTCTAACATCATTAATATTATAAATAGCTTCCAATAGGCCTAAAACAAAATAAACTTTAAAATTAAAAATATATAATATTTATGATGGTTTAACAACATATAACTTCAATTCCTTCTTAACAGTAAGGATTTTTATGGTGCAGGTTTTTAAGTGGGTAACTCTCAACCCTGAAGTGGCGCTGATTCAATTTCTGGTGGTGACTGATGCACCAATGGAATCTTTTTTTATTGATTTTATGGAAACATTTAATGATTTTATGGAAAAGAAACCTCTTGAGGTATCCCATGGTAAGCCATGTTGGCTTGGATAATAAATTCAATTATTTATACCAGACACAAAAGGTTGATTGTCCTTGTTTTAAAGAAATATTATTAAAAAACAGTTGCTTTCAGAATTCCAAACCCATATAGAGTTTTACATTTTTACAATTATTATAAGCAAGGTTTTATATTCTTATATTAAAAGCAAATATACAGTCTTTTTGGATAGGTTTACTTACTTTAAAATCAGTATTAAATATAATATGTCTCTGGGCTTCTTTTGAGATCAGTACAAGATCAATCATTACAATGACTGGATCATATTCTATATATTTATCCACTATACCTTTACAGTGCTCCTGCAATGAAAAAACTATTTGCTTAACATAAACCTTAACAACTGTTGAGATATCTTTTTAATATCCATCAGATATAGTTCCAATATATACTAGTTATGTATAACAATTATTTTGGATTACGCCCCACTACACACTTAATAAAAAAAATTTAAGACATAAACACCAATTTCTTAAATATTTACATAACTCAAGTGCTTTTTTTGAATTGCTAAAATATTGATAAATATTATATAAATATTTTTAATGATTGTATCTTTTCTATAACAGTGCAATTACTTCAACATTAATTAGTGACTTAAACCTAATAAACAATTACTTACACATTTACTCAATTTTAAAACAGACGGTCCATAGTTTCTAAACAGTGCACCAACATTTTTACTACAATTAACACATTTAAATTGTTTATTCTCAATCATATTGTTAAATTCTAAAGAACGATAGTAAAAATTAAGCTGTTTATTTTTAATTTTAATGTTGTGATATTCTTTTTTATATGTATGATTTGGAAGCTGCGCAGGCCTTTCGACCAAACCGCTGGCACATGTCATTTCCAAAATAAGATATTTATTCTTTTTAAGAAATAACGTTTTATTTTATATATAATTTCTACTTAAGTTGTTTGTGTTTCAAAAGCACGAAAATATTAAAGTTAGTTTGGCAGGAGGGTTGTCGTGGTCTGTATTGTCGAAATACCTTATCTGGCCCCATAGTACGAGTGAAAAAAAGTTACCGCCAAAACTGAAATCTGAATTGTGTTTCCCCAGTTCGTTTGGATTTATATACATAATTACAAGTCGTCGGAAATATCTGCGAACCTGGCTTAATGACGTCATACAAACTGGAGAGATAGCAAAAAAATTGAAGATGTAAAAATAAAAAATATTTTATTTGTGTACTTATTTTTATTGATACTCGTACCTACTTGAAATTTACAAATACTTATTATTTACATATTTTTTTAAATATTTTGCTCTCCAGGCTGCTATTTCAGGTCTTTGCACCAAAAAATCGCGATTACGAAAGCAAGAATAATACACGTGCGTCGGCGATTGCGTTGGCAACGGTACTGGATAGGCGAAAACGGGGCGGGGTGCGGGGAAGCGCCAGGGGAAGCGCATTCCAGCGAGGTTCGCAGATATTTCCGACGGCTTGTATGTATACAAGCCGTCGGAAATATCTATCCAGTACCGTTGCCAACGCAATCGCCGACGCACGTGTATTATTCTTGCTTTCGTAATAGCATTTTAGTGTTTATTGTTTCTCTGTTTGGTGAAATATTACATAAACTACCTATTTAGTGCTGTATGTAAGATGGGTAGGACTATACATAGTGCAGAGCGGAATTTAGTGCTCAAAGTAATCCAATTCTTTGAAAATGAAAAAAACACGGCTCTTTCACTTTGCCGGTTGAACAAGCAACAAAAAGGGCTTGTGCTGCAACTGGTTTATCTAAAACGACAATAATGACAATAAAACGTGAAGCAAAAAAATACAAACAGAAACAGCGCGAGCAGCGAATGTTCAGGAAGACATGACGTCCTTCGAAGAGCATCTTGAGCATCCACAACCTAGTACTTCAGCTTCAGTTGCCACGGACACTATCAAGCTCTCGACACCAGGGAAAAAGCGTAAAAAATACAAAAGAAAATAGATCTAGATAATTTTGATTTATGCGCGATACGCTCTTTGGTTGAAAGTTTTTATACCACAAGAAAAGAAATACCTACTTTAAAAAAGCAAAACGGGAGCTCAACTTTCCCGGCCAAAAAGACGCCCTAAGAAACATACTAATAAATGATTTGGGGTACAGCTTTAAAAATGTAAACGAAAACGCGATTTTTTGGTGCAAAGACCTGAAATAGCAGCCTGGAGAGCAAAATATTTAAGGCGACTGAAAGAAAATGACGAACGTGGTGCCGAAAAAAACCAGTTACATTTATCGACGAAACCTGGATACATTCACACTATACTGTCTCAAAATGTTGGCAAAATAGTAGTGATTCCAGTGTCCGAATAAATCACTCTCCTGGTCAGCGCTGGATTGTGGTACACGCAGGTAATGAGAACGGTTTCATACAAGGAGCCGAGCTCCTATATAAGTGTAAATCAACAACCGGTGATTACCATGACGAAATGGATGCGTCCAATTTTACCAAATGGATTAAAGAGAAATTGATACCGAACCTTCCACCCAACGGAATAATTGTCATGGACAACGCGCCCTATCACAGTAAGCAGGCAAATAAGCCGCCAAATTTCAGTGCACGTAAAAACGAAATGCAAACATGGCTGCAAGAACACAACATCGAATTTGATGACAAAATGACTAAAAGAGAACTGTATATGTTGATTCAAAGAAATAAACCTGAGAAGGTATATTTCATCGATGAAATATTTAGAGCTCATGGACATGAGGTATTACGTCTGCCACCCTACCACTGTGATCTCAACCCTATTGAGTATGTTTGGAATTTGATGAAACAAAGGGTGGCAGACAAAAATATTGACCAATCAGAAAAAGATATAGAAAGGTTAACAAAGGCAGCGATCCAAAGTATAACCCCGGAAGATTGGAAAAAGAATGCAACCATGTTGATCGCTTAAGAGATAAGTTTTGGCATAATGACAGATTATATGAACATGAAGAACGCGAATTAATAATTTCATTAGGAGGAGAAGACAGTGACAGCGAAACCGAAGACAACATTTTGAGTGATAATATAGAAGATGACGAAAACGACAGCGCTACCATGTCTGGTGTCGAGGCTTTTCTAGAATAGTTTCGCCACTTTCTCTTCCTCTCTACTTTTTCTTTGTATTATTTGTAAATTTGTAAATAATTTGAATTTTAAATAATGTAAATAATAAGTATTTGTAAATTTCAAGTAGGTACGAGTATCAATAAAAATAAGTACACAAATAAAATATTTTTTATTTTTACATCTTCAATTTTTTTGCTATCTCTCCAGTTTGTATGACGTCATTAAGCCAGGTTCGCAGATATTTCCGACGACTTGTACTGTATAGTGTAATAGACAAAAAAACCATTAGAATACCCAATTCCTCAAATTATTTTCGTACTAACATTGCTTGTATACCTATACTAAATGACTCTATTTGTCCTCGGTGACGTAATTAATCCAATTGTCCAAATGTGAAGTCCAATTAGAAACGCAACATTCTAAGTTTGTTGCAGTCACAGTTTTTGAAGTTATACCTCTTTAGGCGCGTTATGAAAAATTTATGAGAGTGAAATTTTACGATGCGCGCGCACCAGTGACACAAAATTGGGAGTGTGATTATAGCGTGCGCGAGCGAGATAGGAATAAGACAATCTACAAGTAAAAAGAAATAGAATATGCGTGAAGTTCGTATGCCAAGAATTTTGAATGACCATAATGACATTTGTCATTTACCTTTTAAACAAATAAAGGAGTTTTGATTATTTTTTCAAAGAAATTTATTAATTTTATATTGTGCAATACTGCCAAAGCTACAACATACTTCTTAGTGTTTGGTAGAGATGTTCTAAATATATAATTATATATACTTTTAACTAAATAGAATTTATGTTACACTTAATGTAAGAGAATAATAATAAATAATTATTTATTTAATTTTTCAAATGTAAACTGAACTTAATTGACTATAATGACTCCTTTTCCAGTCTTTGATTATTTAATTGTAATTAATTATTTGCATGCAATCAAAAACTATTTTTAATAATGCCAAAGAAGTATAACTTCTTACGCGCGTACATAAGTACACGCACCCTTTTTTACATTTGTTAGTGTTAGTATAGTAGTAATATTATACTCGTATAACTAATAATAAATATATCATACCTAGCGATGTAATTAAAAATTCTTAAGTGTTAAATGTTCTCGCGGGGTCGTTAATACCTAGATGGATGACTAGCTCGCGGTAACGAGGAAATATGGACCCAAGAAATTATGAGGATTAACTTTAAATGTTGGGGACTTTTCTGCCCTCGTGTGAAACACAGTATAATTTTAGGTATTATGGAAATGGCGCTTTTAGGCGAACTTTATATGTATTTAAGAGTCGTACTCAGAATCATTCATTAATTTATATTTTAAGGTAGATTCATAATTTTACTTATATATCTAGATTATAGAGTCATTTACGGTATTTCATTTCTAACTCGGGCTGATTTAAGAAAGCATAGGGTACTAAAAGACTTCTTTAGTTGGATGATGAACCGAAACTTTACTAAACGGATTAAGTAGATACTGTTAATTTATAATAATTGTCTCCATTTGGTACTGTACACAAGAACTAATGAAGACAACCATAAGACCATTGAGGGGATTAGACATAATAGTATTAATCTATGCAATTCTAATAAAAGTATCTAAGTAATTTTTATTACCATTATTATCTAAAGCAAACGCTGTCGGTGACAATATTAAATTTATTTTAGTTATCCACTGATCCTTATTGTTGTCAGAGGCGCATTTAAAAATTTTCAAGGCTTTTAAGTTTTTGCCGCCCTTGCCTCTACAATTGTCATGTCCTAGATTATTTTTAGAATCCAAGAATTTCGTTAAACGTAAAATAATTTTACAAACATTTTAAAAACAAACCATCCAGTTCGCAGCCTCCCTCCATTAGTAGGACTGACATCTTTAGGTTGATAGAGCGAAGAGGGAAATACACTTTCTGCAATTTCGCTCTTTTAACTCATACAAAATGTGAGCTAAGGGCGCAGAGGTCGATTACTGGTTGAGGGGTTGGGCAACATTTGTTGCAGATTTCTATTAACATCAGTAAACTGTTTTGCAGAAATCTTTTAGATTTCTATAAGGTAGCCGAAAACATCGGTTCCCAAATTTTCCGCCCTAGGCTCCATCCTACTCAAACTGCTGGTAAATCCGCCACTGATAGTTGGTTACGAGAATGATGTACGTAATAACTTGTATATTACAAGACCATCCCTTTATTATAAGTCTTTATCTTGTAATTCGTTCTGGCTTTTTATGTTTATAAATAGTTTAAGCTATATGTCAGTTTTACTTAACACTCCGGAAACCGGCATACCGTAGACTCAAAATTCGACGGCATAGAAGTTTCACCTACTTGTCTATACATAAAAAAAAATGTGTGCGTGTACTAGGTGTACACACGTAAGAAGTGAAACTACTTTATGACCTTATTAGAAACTATTTCTTTAAACACAGTAAATTTTGATACACTGCCTAGCATACAATTTACAAATTAATTGCTGCAAATTGCGATTACCAAATTTCAAGTCGAAAATGTAATCCGTTGTCAAACTTCAAAGTCAAAAACATACTATATGTCATATTTTAACGCCGATAAAGAAGTTTGACATCGAAAATGTAATCCGTTGTCAAACTTCAAAGTCAAAAACATACTATATGTCATATTTTAA